TGCAGTGAGCTTTCAAAATGTGTCCCACGTCACAGTGTTGTGTCGGGTCCGTGGAACTGCAGGGCTCTAACGTGCACTGGGCGAGGGCCGTTTGACATTTCTTGCGGCTTTAATTTATTATTGCTTTTCTCAATTTCAAGTTATTTCAGTGATTAATGCTGATTTTTGTTTCATTGCCAGAGGGGTACCAACAATTTTATCCATGACTATGATGTCTATGATTCCAAACTGCCTTTTATTCCACTGTGTAAGTTCATGTACTGTTAAATATGTGTGTGTTTAATATAGCATAATAAATAATTACTAATAGTATAATAGTAATTATGCTAATGTGAACTGTGTGCGTGTACTTTTCCAAGTTGATGAGACTGAATAGTTTTTACTGCAATGTTATAAAGGACAATAAGACAATACTATTTTAATACACATTCTTATTTTTTGTGTGAAGTGTCAAATATATATTAAATAAAGTAAAAAAAATACACACAAAAAACACACACTTTAATCAAGCTTTGCTCAGAGCATTTACAATCACAGCATTCCTTCCTGTCAAAGCACATTACCAGCAGGAGAGTTGAAATGAGCTGTGAACAACTTTCAGACAACATAAGCAGGTCCTGAACCCCAGTTCCCTTTCTTATTCCCAGTTGGTTCCATGCGCTCTCTGCTCCTCAAAATCCTCTAACAGCTTTTGATTTTCACAAGGATTGTGTAGAAAAACTGTGCAAAATGCACACTACCACTACCAGTGTCCACATGTTTAGGAGTTTAGGAAGATGTCCCTCAACTTGATCCTCCACCTTGATGAGAGGATGCCAAATGTACATTTGTACCCATGAAAATGTTCTCCATGGCCAAGTATCTGTGCAAAACAAAAAAAAAAGGACATGTCAAATTCTGCTACGATCCCCCCCCCCCCCCCCTTTTCTAGCAAGTGCTAAGTGGACTGGAAATATCCTTCCTCCTGCCACATGTACAACCAGTAAAGTTTGTATAGGGTCATTCCACGCCATTTCACCAAATGGCTCACGCACTTCGATCTCAAAACATTTTGAAAAAAATACCAAATAGTCCCTTACTATCATGTACCAACCCTGTGAAGTTTTAGTGATTTTCGATCATTACTTTTCAAGTTACAGCTCATTTAGTGAGGGGAGTATGTGTCAATTTATGGGCCCAAAATCGCATAATTTTTTCTCGACCATTTTCACAGGTCGATATCTCCGTAAGTATCACACAGAGGGCTGAAATTTTGTAGGCTTGTACTCCTCTACTCTGTGTTCAAATAACATCTATCGAAAGTTTGGTATCTCAACTCATTGTCATTTTATATGAACTTAAAAATGAAAAAAAAAATAAATAAATTTTCATTTCCGTGGCGTACTATTTTTTGCCCCTTTTGAAACCTACTTGTAGGTGTAGGAGACCCTTAATTTTTTTTGAGAATTAAGATATGTATTAGGACTGTTAAAAAAATCACCAAGTGTTGAAAATTTGAAATAGGTTATGCGTGACGGTCCTGTTAAAAACAGGAAAACGAAACATGGTCCGATTTTCACATGTAATTTATGGCATGTGGGTAATGAAAAAAAATGTGAATAATTTTTCTTTGAAAGACCAGAAAAAGACCTTTCATATGGTACCAAACATATGTATTTTATGAGGCTCCTTCAATTTTTATTGTATCTTGAACATTCGTGTTTTTGAGGTTAGGTCATAGTGCAAGACACAATGACACAAGTATAGTGACCATGTACTATGTTTTATTCCAGCAGCTAAGGTCACTAAACATTTAAAGACTGAATCTAATGGTTTGATAATAATTTTGATGTGACAAGGTATCTGACAAGGTGACATCCAAGAAAACAGCTGTAGATGATTGTTTCTTTAATATGAGAATAAAGTCATGTTCAACAATATGATATTGTCTTCCATTAGTTGTGGACGGCACATTGATGTTCAAGACTATGCAAACGTTACAATAGATTTAGATGCGCAAAAAACTCAAACGGAAGAAGCCGAGAAGTGAGGAAACCGTTCCGTATCATATTTGGATCGCCTGAGCAGGTAATCAAAGTCTTATGGAGCCTTAAATGGAAAGTGCTAAGGTTGTCCATTTAAGGGAAATTTCAGGATTTGTGGGAATTTATCACATATAAAAAAATCATATCTTTATTGTGGGGTGGACCTATATACTTCCAAATGCACATCTTTGAAGTTTTTTTTTTTTTTTTCTGTTATATATTTTAAGAGAGCCAGTACATGTTTGGACCAAGAGCCTACTCCCAAGAAATTAATTAAGTGCACAGATGATGAAGCGCCTGATTGCCAGGGATGAAAAAGCCTCCACAGGTTGAGGAGAATTCTGGTGGTCAGCTTGTGGGGACTGTCCATGCTGCCATGACCTCGGCCAGAAAATCCAAAAGCTTCGGGACCGACTGCAGGTTTATGAAGATGTGCCTACCAATACTGATGACAAATAAGACATACATGTTCTGTGTTCTTGGTTTTTAGATATCTTGTAACACATCCTGTTAATTCATTGTTGTTCATTCTTCGTGTTTGGGATCTTTAGCTGCTGGAATAAAACATAGTACATGGTCACTGTATACTTGTGTCATTGTGTCAAATGTGAATGTTCAAGATACTATTAAAAATTGAAGGAGCTTCATAAAATACATGTTTGGTATCATATGAAAGGTCTTTTTCTGGTCTTTCAAACAATAATTATTCAAAAAATTTTAATCACTACCCACATGCCATAAATTACATGTGAATATCGGACCATGTTGCAACAGTCCTAGTACATATCTTGATTCTCAAAAAAATTTAAGGGTCTCCTACAGCTACAAGTAGGTTTAGAAAGGGGCTAAAAATGGTATGCCACGGAAATGAACAAGTTTTTTTTTTAGTTTTAAGTTCATATAAAATGACAATGAGTTGAGATACCAAACTTTCGATAGATGTTATTTGAACACAGAGTAGAGGAGTACAAGCCTACAAAATTTCAGCCCTCTGTGTGATACTTACGGAGATATCGACCTGTGAAAACGACAGAGAAAAAATTATGCAATTTTGGGCCCGTGAATTGACACATACTCCCCTCATAAATTGAGCTGTAACTTGAAAAGTAATGATCGAAAATCACTATAACTTCACAGGGTTGGTACATGATAGTAAGGGATCAGATGGTAATTTTTAAAAATTTTTTAAAAAACATGATGCATGAGATTTTCTGGAAATTTGATGAAATGGCGTGGAATGACCCTATAGACATTTTAAACAGTTATTTGTTCCTATTGTATGTAAAATATTGTTTTGCATGCAGGCAATACATTTAATTACTCTTAATTGTACTGGTATGTGTGCGTTGCACAGCTCCAAAAGCAATCTCAGCCCTGCACCTTCTCCAGCAAGTAAAGTGTAAAGGGAAAGATCCAATCCCTGCACCCTTATTACCTCAGCTCCTGTAGAAAGACCCAAGAGAGAGGGCACATCACAACATGGGATGCTGAAAGCTTCACTCTCAGCTTGGTCCACATTATAATGAGAGGGCAAAGTTTGAACTTTTAAAGACCCCCCCCATCACATGGAAGCTGATAAAGCAAACCACTACATCTCAGCTAAACACCACTTGACCCTGCCCCCCGGATACGAGAACAAGCAACTACATTGTCTGGGTCCGATCCTTCACTTCCACCCCCATTTCCCCACCCTCCACAGACAGGCCAATAGGACCATACACAGAGATGCTGGCCAGTACTGATATTCAGTAGGAGAAAAGACCTGGGACTTCATATTTTTCAAATGTTCAAGTGTGTTTTACAGTTCATTGTTCAGTGGTGACTATAATTTTGCATATTTTATTTTGATAGTTATTAATCTTTTAGATGTGATCTGTTTGTTATTTGTATTTACCTCAAAGCAACTGCCAGTTGCTGTTGTGGCTCTATAGGAGCTCTACAATTCATTGACTGCCTTGTCAGGACAGGGCCAATGATGGAAAGGAGCTCATCAATCTTCTCAAGCACTCATCTTGGTGATGATGCTGACAGTTGAGCCTTAATTCAGCCACAAATCATGCAAGGGAGACAGCAAGAGCAAGCGGCTTTCACCTGCTAACATGAACTGAATGCAAAAGTTAAACGATTAGATTATTGAATATACAGTTATATATGTGAGCAACAGAACAAAGGATTAATCATATGCTAATTTAACTACAAATGCTAAACAAACTTGGAAATGTAACAATCATGTAAAATCAAATAAAACCAAAAATATCAGGATTATCCTTTAAATGTGTAAAATATATATTTCAATAGATATAATCGTAACAGGCTTACCCATAGTTGAGGGAAAGATATAGTAGAAAGAACGGAGACATACACAATCCAAAGGGTGAGTAATAGTGTATTATTTACAAGTCCTTCATATACACTATCAGCCATCTTGTGAACTCCCTACTGGAGCGTACATCCTTGTAAACTTGTGATGTTGTGTGTGTAGCTTTCACAGCCGGTGACCGCAACAGTACGGTAGAGCACTGCTCCTTGTGTGAGGACAAGCCAGAAAACACACTCCAGCACCAGAGTCACAAGTGCACCAAATGCAGTCTGAGCAAGGCATTACACTTCTATATTGGTACTGCTATGTGTAACATATTTAGATCACTTTTCTTGTTTTGAAATTTAGATTGAAAACATGTTTTAAATTTCAGTTTCATTTTTCTTGTTCAACCCTTCCCTGGTCACTCCCCCCTCAATTGGCATGCATTCCCTAATGAAATTACTAGAGAGGTTTGTGAAGTTTTAGTGGACTGTTTTTTATCCTGATTTTGTAAATCGAAAATTGCCTTGTGGGAGCTTTGGACAGTACTGCTAACCATAAAACCTGGCATTTTGATGAGGACACATTATGACATGGTAGAGAGCTTTACAAAGTTGATTTAGCATAATACCCCCTCTTAAAACTGTTACAGTGATGACTGGTCTTATACTTACACAGAGTTAAACAGATATGCTCTTCCTTGGCTGCCTTGAAAAGACTGAAAAAACATATGTATATTAGTTGCCAAAAATTCGCCACATAAAAGTAAGTGTAGTACATTCTAAAAGGTCAGCATGGGCAAATACCATTCAACTGATCTATCTCTTTTTTTGTGAACTAATTTTTATTCAGGTGTTATTATTTGCAGTTATACATATTCCAGTTAGCATTGCATTTTTCTCCCTTTTAAACCCTCCACCCTTAAACTCCCTATTGATGGGCATCAACATACATATGTACACACACATATACATATAATACATATATACAGCATCTACATAAACACACATACCCATATACACATATATGTATATATGTTATATATACATATACATGTATATACACATTCACACACACGCACACACACACACACACACACACACAAAAAATGCAGGTTTATATTCCCTCTATACAAAACACAGGCAAAGTTCCTCCGTCAAAAGACATCAGCAGAAATTGCGTTATACATACTTGTTATGTACCATACATAGAAAGTTAACTGAAAGTGTACATATTGTATACATTCTAAGAACATACATTATAATGAAAAATCTCCAGGTAACAACTTTAGAATAGATTCAGATCTCAATTTGATCAGTAGATTGTACCAGCAAGAAATGTTTTTGGTTTTTGCTCCATGCATTCGAGCAGCAGAAAGCTCCAACGATTTCTCCGAAAGATAGTAGCCATTCTCTCACAGTCACAGGTTGAACTGATTTCCACCGTCATATTACCATTTTTTTGGCAGCTGTAAGACCTGCTAGTAATATGTGACGATTGTTAATTGTCAGATTTAGTTTGGACATGTCATTTAGCAAAAGAAACCTCTGAGTGCAAGGTATGGTTATTCCTATTAATTTAGACATTGTCTTTGTGGCGTTTTCCCAAAATTGTGCCACCTCCGGACGCTCCCATATCATATCTACATAAGTGCCCACAGTTTTTTCTATGCAAAAATCACAGTGTGGATTGTCTTTTATTTTCATTTGTTGTAAATCTTCTAGGGTATAAATAAGCTCTATGAATAATTTTGTAATGGACCATCTGGTAATTGGCATTCCTTGATGAAAGCAAAATGTTGGACCAAATCTGGTTCCAATCCCACTCCAAGTGATCCCTCAACTGATCTATCTTTGAAGGTTTTCTGTCTGTCAGTCAACTGCAAAAGGAATCTTATTGGTCAGTTCCAACATGGAATGAGCAGTTCTGAACGTGTAACCAAAGCCAACTCCAACTGGACACTGTAGTTTTGTGTATTCAGAACATTACTCCTTCTTATTTATGAAACATATAATTAAAATATAGTCTTAATGTTATTATTTATTGATATATAGTGATAAATGCAGAAGTCCCTGGCAGTTTGAATGCTAGAATGTTTATGGTTGATAATGTTTATTTATAGGGATTTTTTTAGGGATAGTGGTGGCTATGGGTGATGGCTGCAGTTTTGAAAGCAGTTGGAACAATACCACAGGAGAGGGAGGAGTGATTGATGGCAAAAATTAAGGAGAGAATTGAGGAAAGGGAACATTTAACCAGGGAAATTGGAAGAGGAATGAGTGGGCAAGTAGAAGGCTTGGATTTTAAAATGAGCACAAAGATTTGAAACAAGATACATTTTCTTGCCCCACTGATTAATTTAATTTTTTACTGTTAAGCTTAATCATGTCATGTCTCATAGGTTTTGTCAATTAAGTGAAAGGAGTACCTTAGAGATGAGCTCATCATGGTTGGCCAGGTGAGCGCGGCAGTGGACACAGCTGTATGTGCGATGGCAGCTGGGCAGATAGTCCTGAAAGGTTTTTGACTTGGTCATTCTCACCATTTCTATGGGGCTGGGCTCTTCACTTGTGTCAGGGCTAGCATTAGAAGTGTTGCAGCTTTGCTGGAAATGCTGACAGAAGAAGCATTGGAAGATGCAAGCAAAAGCCGTCGTCGTTCTGAAGTGGGTGTGTGGCACGCTCCACACAGGCACCGCAGAGAAATGGTATCTAAGAGAAAAACATAGCAGAAATGGTAAGGGACTAGTGCAGATGGAACAGAGGACTAATCCAAAACTCAGAGGTTTGACCTCATTGGCTGGTGAGACAGCTTCTATTTTCTGTTTGATTACAAAATTATCTCAGAAAATTAAGGCACAAGTCTAGCCAAAATAGGGTAGACTTTTTGTTACTTGAAATATATAAGCATTTAGGGCTTTAAACATGACTGTATATCAGTCCTTTGTTATGTTATTTTATTTTTTTTTTATTAAAGACAATAGAATATAACATTTAACAAAATACAATAATAAACAAAAACAAGACACAAGCCAAGTCTAGTGTTCACAATATATGAACCACCATTTTCTCTAGCAGTAACATGCCAAGGTGTAATAGCTTTAGGTGCATTAATCTCAATGAGGAATCCAATCTTTTGATCAATCTTGCGGTTAGGCATTTACTGAAGGTAGGATCACTTGTTAAAGGCGCTGTCACACCTTGATCTTAGCATATTATAACATAATGATGTTGTACATTATAAGTATATAGAAGGCTCAAGCACAATGTGATCTTTTAGTTATGGCTGCTTTAACTGCTAGTAGGAAGCAATACAATATGAACAAAGGGCATGTGCACAAGCACTGCCACTGACACCAAACATGTCAAAGCAACATAAAAACAGTAGACCTTGTAACACGGAATCAACAAGCCACTTTGCTAATTATAGTATCCAAATAATGTATGAAAAACATTTACAAACATTTACATCATTTAGTGTACACTTCAGTGTCCATGAACTCACAAGATTGGAATCACTGCTATTATCTTTGTTTGCCTGTCTTGTCAACATTCATAAGAATGAAGACAAGAGAACTAGTAACTGTTGTTTATTATTGTTTATGTGAAAAAAGCTATGAGGTTCATAATGGAATGAATGAAGAGCATGTTGATGTGGATAACTAACTCAATCAGACACATTTTTCTAGATGCCAAAAACCTGTCCTATCTATGAAATAGTAACACCATCATTCAACGTTCTAGTCCCTGTAGGAACAAGGTTTACACCAGATTATCTGCTGCATATGCTAAGACTGTATATAATTTGGTTTAGGCCAAAGTATACCCATGTTTCCTAGGTCAAATTATACCAGGGGCTAACCTGTGCTTGGCCAAACTATACCCCAGATGGTAACAGTCTAGGCCAGACTATACCCTCTGGGCCAGAATATATCCCTTAATTTGTCAATCTCATATCTTGTTAATTGGCTGTAGCCCCAAACTGGAGGAGTGGCTACAGCAGATACCAGAAAGAACAAGATACATCTCAGTCCAGAAAAGTGCAAACTCACAAGTTCCCAAACCGTGGAATTGAGGAACATATTTAAAAAAAAATATATAATATTAATGTATACAAATGTGGACCAGGCAGTGTCTTAGGAACAAAAGGATGCCACCTCTTTCTAATGGAAATGAACAACAGGTGCACTAGAGTGTCAACTATTATTAGTTTGTACAACCATAAACGAACGCAAAAATCCTCAAATTTTACATTCTCAATATTGTTTATTTTTGTATGATTATAAACGAAGATATATTTCTGTGTGTATGTACTGTATATCATAGATGCATGCGCGTGTGACACACGCACGCGCACACACACACACATGACAGGTAAGCACTCCAAAGGCATAAAAACAAAACAAAAAACAATGTGTCAACCATTTGATTATGTAAAACAATTGGAGTAGGACAATATAAGTTTTTTTTAAAACTTCATCCTACTCCTTTAGAGCACCAGGTCCCAAATATGTATATGTACATATTCTTGTTTTTGTTTAGTTTTTTGTAGAGCTCGACCGATATGGATTTTTCTGTGGCCGATATGAAACCGATATAATGGGAGTTGGAGCTGCCGATAGACGATATAATCACCGATATACTTAGTGATGTAAAAATTCACTATAAATGTTGAATTGTTTAAAAAACTTAGGTTTGGCTCTGGTGGATTTTAAATTGGGTTTATTTAGGCAACATTTATTGTTATTCTGCCTCTTTACATCATATTTACAAACAGTAGGTTGGCTTAATGGCATTTTTCCATCACATTCTAGACAGTAGTGATGGGTATTCCAGTTGTTTTTAGAGAACCGGCTCTTTTGGCTTGGCTCACTAAAAGCTGCTGGTTCTTTTGGCTGTCAAGCAGCTCTTCAGATTGTTTTGTTGCAAGCAGGACTAAAGCACGTCTTAAGCAGGACTGAATCAGGACCGAACCAGGTCTAACCAGGACTGAAAAAGGACTAAACCAGGACTAAAACAGATCTAGACCATGCGTAAAACAGGACTAAACCAAAACTGAACCAGGACTGAGTGTCGGGACTCGGTCTCTATCTCGTGCCCAAGATTAGTCCTGGTTTATTTATTTTCTGCTAAACTACAGCCAAATATGCACCTTTTTTTTTATCCTATGTACACGCAAATTTCTCAAAGTTTTGTTTTGAGCCGCTGTCAAACTACCACGAGTCTGAATGCGGCGTGAAGAGAAAAAAAGTGAGAGAAAGAGAAAACACGACTCCCAATAAGGATCAGGCTCCCGTCGTTCGCTTCAAAGAGCCGGCTCGAAGAGCCGCTTCGTTCGCGACCGACCCATCACTAGTAAAGAAACTAGCGCTATTAGCCATTAGCCGTAAATACGTGCGTGCCGTGGTAATTAATTATATGCGCAAATAATTCATACGTCATAATTCACACATCTATTCACAGCTCTTTACATATCAATGCAGGTCCAGTAACAAATATACGGTCAATAGTCACTTTACAATAGGCCAATAGAAAACAGCCTGTTTATGTGCGGGAGCTACAGCAGCTAACCCATAACAAATGACCAAAACTAGCCTCAAAGTCGACATATTTCCAACACTCACCGCTCACACAGGCTCCTCCTCACATCACAATTCTGCACTAATAAATGTCCTTTTAATCCAGACTCAAACCGATTGTTATGTCTGCGAGTGTAAACAAACACACGTGAGTGACGCGACTCTGTGGTGTGTTCAGGGACAGTACGGATATACACACTGACAAATGACTCCGCAGATAAATACTGATGTGGAGCCACATATTAGGACATTTGTCTGTAAATTGGATTAAATGAACAGAATGTAGAGAATCTAAGTTTTTTAACGACGTATCACATGCCCACGTCAAATATCGGCCCCTATCAGCAGGCATATCGGCAATCGGCCGAGGTGCCCATATCGGCCAACCAATGGTCGGGCTCTAGTTTTTTGTTAGTTTTGTTGATTTTATTTTACCTTGCTCAAACAAATAAATAAAATAAAAATAAATACAAAATAAAACAATTACACTACCTATAAAACAGGACTGGTTTTGCATGTGGAGTTCATTTCAAGTTTCTCCCCTGGATCTTTTCTGGCTGGTTTTCCACTTGTGTGATCCAGCACAATCTCCAGAACATGGAGACAATTTCAGGAGACAGGCAGTTTCTCTAGGAGAGCTGGACAGGGCTGTTAGGAGGTCCTCAACCTAGCAGCAGGACTGATATCTGCTGCTTTGTGCAAGGACAAACGGGTTGAGAAGTGCGTGGGCCAGAATTTGCAAGTCTGCCACTGGTGCCCTGTGCTTTTCACAGCTGAGAGCAGATTCAACCTGAGCACCTGTGACAGACGTGAAACAGTCTGAAGAAGACAAGGAGAACTCTATGCTACCTGCAACAAGGTTCAGCATGAGCGGTTTGGTGGTGGGTCAGTGATGGTCTAGGAAGGCATATCCATGCAGGGACACCCAGACCTCTGTTGGCTAAAAAAATGTCTGCCATTAGGTATACGGATGAAATCCTTGAATCCATTGTCTAACCCTTCACTGGTGCAGTAGGTCCTGGGGTTCTCCTGATGCCCAGCCTCATGTGGCTGAGTATGCAGGTATTTCCTGGAGGATGAAGGGATTGATACAATCATACTACATAGTTCTCCAGGAAGAATAGCTGATAGCTAAAATCAATCAAGTACAATCAATCAACTTGCCCAGGGACTATAGGTGGAAATTAGCACTGGTGCTACAACCTGGCATGATACATCTCTCCTGTTAAGGTTAATGTATATTGTGCACTGTCCCTTTCCCATTAAATAAATAAAACTAAAATAAAATGGCCCTTATTGTCACCTGACTTAGCCCCAATAGAACACCTCTCGGACAGGAGGTCTATAAAATTAAGCCCTCAGTAGGCTGAACATTTATTTCCATTAAAAGAGGTGGCATCCTTTTGTTCCCAAGACATTACCCTGTACATATTAGTATACATGTAGCTATCTAGCTTTTTTTTTTTTTTTTTTCACAATGTGATCTGATGAGTTTTCAAAGTGCTCCTTTTTTGAGCAGTGTATATTCTGATTAGTAGTGGCGATTTTAATTAGTGTTTTACTAACTGTCATAACCAAGTTTACAGTAAAGACATAGTTTCCATATTTATGTACAATGAAGACCTCGATTTGTGTCAAGGAAAGAAACCACAAACCCCGCAAGACGTTGAGGCACCCCAGACAAAGCACCTAACCCGCGGGACACAAAGAAAATCGCCAGGTGGTGTACTTTTGTTATATTTATCCAACAGAGCCGCTTTGACTCAGGAAAACAGCGCGCTGTGGCTGTCATTTTGGCTCCTGCAGGAGTTTGAAACGTGTGCCCTCTGTTAACTCACCACCGCGGAGAAGAGGGCACGACGCAATGGCGGGATTATGCCAGCTTTGTCTTTCACATCAGACCGTCAGGTTGTGGATGGCTCCAAATCCATGGTTGCGATTACGGCACAATGTTTGATATAACAGCAGTAGGCTCCTCTTTGTTTTGTCGTTTATGTACCTAACGGACTGATGCTTACTTTGCTCTGGTAACGTCAGCATGCTGGAGGAAGCTTACCAAAACAGGCAACCCGAGCAGCCAATCAGCAGCTGGGTCACCTTCAGGTACACCTTGGCCATGGAGGTTTCTTAGGACACAGCAGCAGATCTTAATAGAAACTCTTGATTTCTACAGGATTAACTTAAGTACAAAAATGGATTTGACTATTTTCAGTCACAGCAGCATGTACATTATTTCTATGCTTGAATGAATGCATTATTTTTCCTAGGTTACTTAAACGCATCATGACGATCCCGTATGTGTAAATAAATACACACGGGTGGTTGATCCCTCAGTCACAGACAAAGCGTTTTTAGTTCGAAGAAGTCACCAGCCCATGATGACAAAGCAGTATTTATTCCACAATATAAATCTTTCTTTTATTTCTTTTAAAAAGTTTTGTACCCTATGTTATTAGGTTCTTTTTTTCAGACCTAGAGTGTTATTTCATACCTGACAGTTTCGACTGCTCACTAGCGTCTTCCTCAGAGTGGTCTCTCTAGGTCTGAAAAAAAGAACCTAATAACATAGAATATTGGAAGACCAAATTAATCTCATTGGAGTTTTGTACCCTGATTTGTCATGATGCAAACTCTGAATTTATGATTTACTTCCACAGAAACAAGAAAACAAAGACAAAAACAAGAAACTTCTCATTTAAAAAAGTAAAGCTAATAATGATAGTACAGTTTATAAATTGACAATCTTCTAAATTTGCTCATACAGTAGTAAATGTTTCTTTCATGGTAAATGATTACATTTTTATATAGCACTTTTCCACTTTCAAGACATTCAAAGCACAACAAGGAACCACTTACCCATTCATACACAAACACTAGTGTACACAGGCCCTAGGTGGATTAAGTGTCTTGCCCAAGGACACAACAGCAGCATTCATCTGTGGAAGCTAGAATTGCACTGCTCATCCAATGCTGGTTATGTCAACACACACCCCCACTCACTAAAAGGCACTTCTAAAACTACAACTGTGCTTGTTGCTGACTGGCAGAGATGGCCTGTGACTATTAGAATTTACTTTCATATTTATTTCAAAGAACCACTTACTCGTCTTTCATATGTTTTATTTTCTTTGAACAACTTACAAGAAACATTTTTATTATTATTTTTATTATGTGGGGGCTTGTGTTTAATGTACATTGCTGGTTATTATCTTTTTGTGTACGCAGTCTACATCTCAGGACGAGCATTAGTTCTTGAGATTATTGCGAGACACTTTATGTTTTCTCTTTTTGATGTGCTTAGGAATTTTTGTTTTTCTCTTTTCCCTTTGTGCTTCTTTCACTCGCCTTTTCACCTCCTACAACAAAAAGAAAAAAATATATATTAAAAATGTATGTTTGTCACACATTGGGGACATTGTTGAGAACAGCAGTAGTAGAGTATAAGAATGCAAAAAGTATTACATTCAAATAGCCCAGCTACTATTAACATGGAAGACAATGTGCCAACTTTACCAAAACAACTCAACTATTATATTCGATATAACGTGAGTGCTTCAAAAGGTCAAGCTATGTTATCTGTGTATTATGTGGCCAAAACCTCCAAACCTTAGAAGCTGACTTTGACTTTTGACACTTCACTTACATTGCCTAATATGAAAGTGGTGTGTGTACGTGTGCGTGCGTGTGTGTACGCGTGCGTGCATGCGTGTCCGAACAGACAGATTTGCTGCCTCGCTTCCGTCAGTCTGCCTCAGGGCAGCTGTGGCTACAATAGTAGCTTACCACCAGAGTGTGGAGTGAATGAATAATGCACCAAATTGTAAAGCAACTTTGAGTGTCTGGAAAAGTGGTTTATAAGACTAATGCATAATCATAATCATAGTTATAGTAAAAGTAGTATAATAATAATATTGCTATAATTTTCTCATACACTGAATTTTGGGTTTTCATTATCTGTAAGCTGCAATCAATAAACTGTCAAGAAATAAAGCTTCACTCTGTGTCATGAGTCTATAATAAATGGGTTTGACTTTCTGAAATGAGTGACAAAAAAATGTTCAACTTTTTCAATTCATTTTTTTTAGATGGACAAGTAGTCTGACTACAAACAACCTTGTTCTGTAACACAGAAAACATGCGCCTTTTCAGACTTGATAAGCCACCGTCAATAGGGAGATACAAAGGGAGCGTCTGCAGTATTTTGAGAATTGGATCTCTGAAAAGGTACCAACTGTGGTTTTAACAGCTTAGCTCTGATTAATTGGACCATTGGGTCAATTGATATGCTAGGGATTTATCTTCCAGAAAATGTTAAAGAAATTGTTGAATATAATTACAATAGGAAGATAAAAAGCAATTGACAGAGAATTCCCTATATAACAATAACAATATAAAGAACTGTTCAATGAACTGTTCCTTAAAAGCCTCCTTGATGGTCAGATAAACAACAGCTTAGTAGTCAAAGGTTATATTCATAATTTTCCTTTTTTATCACCATTTTTAAAAGATGCACTCAAAGCGTGGTTGAATTTTCAGTACCAAACCCCAAAAAGATATTAAGATGCAGATGCTTTGGATGAATTCAAATAATGTTAGTAGAGGCAAACCACTGCTGTGGGCTGACTGTATCAAAAACAGGTTGGTTTTTAGAATCTTCTCTCTCATGAACCTTTTAATAGAAAATACAGCAACATATCTTTAGACCATTTAAGTTTTAATCAGTTACTTTCAGTCATTCCAAAAAGCTGGAAAATGAAATTTAAAAGAGAAAAGAATAATATGCTTTTGGTTTGTCTTGCACATATAAGAAACCATAAATGGTACTTACTTACTGGTATAAACATAAACAAAATAATGTACAAGTGGACTATTAATACAACTGGTGCATCACTTTTTCCCCACAGAGCCTGCTTGTTTTGGGAAAATGAAATAAATGCCCCAATCTCATGTAAATGTTACTTTCAAACTATTTATAATACTACAATAGACTCTTATTTCAGAATATTTCAACTAAAAATGTTTTATAAAATGACTGCAACAAAAAAATCGTTATAAAAATGGCAGGTAGGAAACAACCCTTACTGCAGGTTCTGTGAGGAGGAAGAGGAAGACCTGTTTCACCCATTTTATTTTTGTCCTTATGTTGCCAAGTTTTGGGTTTCTGTTCGATCTCAGGTACAGTCAATGGGAATTTCTTTTAAAATTTCCCCCAGGAACATCATGCTGTGCATTTTTGAGAGGAAATTCACACCTTTTCTGAATATAATAATTTAGTTAGAAAAGATTTTTATTTTTAAGGCTTCAACTATATCAAATGTATGTTTTTGTAAGTTGTCCATTAAACTGATAAAGGCATTTTATTTTAACCAGTGAGTGCCTTGGGTTTTTTGCATCTTTGTACTGACTTCCCTTCCCAAAGAGCACCACTGAGTTGGATCTACTGTGTATTATCCTCTGGAGGTCCAGGAAGTGCTTCTTCTGAAACATTTTTTAATATCAAATGTATGTTTAGAATACTTTAACAATATAAATCACAATCAGTACAATCTAGAAAAACGTATTGCTATGGAGAATAACACATTATTGGAGAATAATAGGAAACTGAATATTAGCTCACTGGTATTACGGATAAAGTAATAATAATCATCATTATTGTTATTGTTTATGTCTTGTGTTCCTTATTTTAATATAGTTTGAACCCTTTGTTGAGCTGCATTTCATTATTATCATCATCATCATGATTATTGATAATAATAATAAATAAGGATAATAATAATAATAATAATATAGCAGCCATTCTTTCCTTATGGATCTGTATTAAGTATGAGTGGGTATGGATGTGATGTGTGGGTGGTGTTTGTGTGTGAGTGTGAAGCCTGACCTCCTTGGGTTTGTCAATAATAATAATAATAAAAAAAAAAAAAGTGCTTCTGTCCAGACAGCCCATGCTCAAAGGGCCCTCTTACCACCAACCCAAGAGGGTGTGGGCTACACGTGTGAGCACCCACTAGTGAAGATTGCACAATTTTAGGCTAAAACATTCCTCATATTGGCCATTTGTTAAATGTGGACAATCTATTATGGCGTTTGCCTAGTATCATGCAGCTTATAGGCCCACTTTTATGCTCACGCATAGACAAACTGCAGGCAATTAACTGCATCCAGAACTTTGTCTCTTTGATCAATAAAAATAAAAGAGCTGCTACTTCATAATTTTCAGCTTCTTTTATTCATTTATCAGAGCCTAATGAAGGCTGCATTTGCCTCTGATTTGCTCCACCTTGTCAGTTCTGACCAGTATGTACACTGATTGTTATACAAGTTAATTTACGTTTTATAGTCCACTTCCCAAATACACAGTGAGAATATGAACCGAACCAACTGAAAAAAAAAAAAAGTCTGCACTCCACTCAGGTCAAACAAGCTTAGCACTTTTCTGTTGTGAATACACCCTAAACTTACAAACTTACACAGGCCATATTATGGTTTGATATATCAGAATTCCAGCTTCTAACTCAAACACTTTCCACTTGCACTTTACAAGAATTTTTTTGGTAATTACATTTTGAAATATGCAATATGAAGTATGCAAGTTAGGCCTAAAGCTCAATACTTTGCCTCTAATATGCAATACCTTTCTGTCTAGTGTCTCTTCCGCCTTGTCCACTTTCTCCTCTTCTCCAGAAGAAGATGTGTCCTGCTCTACATCCAACTCAAGATTCTCCAGTAAAGCCGGGATCTGGGCCCAAACAAAAATATTATAATTACTATATTTTTAAACATTGCAAGTGTGTAACATTTTGGGATTAGTGTCACACAAAAAGTAACTAAACTAATATTAAACACAGAAGTGCAGACAGGTACAGAAATTTGAAGCATGTAATTTAGCATCTTTCCAAATGCAGTGTGTGCTATAAGTGTGCATAAATTGGATGAATTTTGTAGCAAAGAAAACACAAAATCAGATTATTTCCGAATGTGAAATGTGAACTTTTAAGATTTATGTTTGTATACAGGGTATCCCCAGGTTTGACTACCCCAAATTTAAGACTTTTTTTTAAAAGACCCTTTTAAGACCACTTAAATGAAAATGAAGACCAACATCGCATCCATTATATGGGCGAAAAACCCCAGATCCAATTCTAATAATGACCAACCAACTACCGGTACTATATCTAGAATCTAGAAGAGCCACTGTGGATTAAACCTACACTTCCCCATGATCCATCTGGCGTCTTCCTCCACTCTACTGATGGTTTACTCATTTCCACCGGTGCCAGAAACCAAAGTATTGTTTGTGTATACTCTAAATTAGACGTTCATTCACATTACATAATTTCACGTTGTTGTCTTTTTTTTTCCATTGCACTGTAGCCCGGTTGAGTTTATAAAAAATAGGTTAATGAAATTTAAGACATTTGTGAAAAAATAAGATTTGGACAACATAATTAAAGACTCTTTAAGGCCTTACTGTATTTTCCACACTATAGGGCGCTCTGGATTATAAGGCGCACTGTCATTGAATGGTCTATTTTCAAACTTTTATCACATATAAACCGCACCGGACTATAAGGCGCATTAAACAAAACAACAGATAAGTCAGTCAAACTTTATTTAACGCATTCAAAATAACTCTCAATTGTGACGCGTAGAAAAAATAATGTCTGAGACGCTAAATTGTTAGCGTATTCACAATAACTCATAATTGTTCAAACAGCTGGGCGATTACGGCATCCAGCATGCCCCTATCACTCTCGTCATTATCAGAGTCAATATCGTTACTGTTACCTGGCAATTCAGTGATGATTTCGGTCTTGGTGAAAGCTCGGACCACAGTTGATACTTATCCTTAGCCCTGGCGTACGATCTATTGGCAGAGCGTAAGTCGCTCGGCGCAGTCTCTGTTTTGGTGAATGTGTGTTTGCCTTCTTTAATCCACTACTCCCACGCAGCTCGCACTTTCACTTTATAATAGCCTTGAGTTTAAAGTGGGCGTTGTAAGCATGTCTCTTGACAGGTGCATTTTGATATTAAAAGTAATCACAGTATGTATTACTCCGCGATGCTCCTGACTACAGTAGTCGTAATGCTGCAAGTGGTGCCACTTTGTAGTTTACTAAAGTCGTACTAAGACACCCAAATAAATTCCTATATAAGGTGCTCTGGATTATAAGGCACGCAGTCGTTTTTAAAGGCTTTTAAGTGCGCCCTATAGTGCGAAAAATACGGTAATTTAGGAACATGAAATTTAAGACCTTTTTAAGACTTATGACCCCGTGGCTACTCTGGTATATAGTCCCGAACTGGGATGTATACCATGAAGCGAGCTAAAGCGAAGCCTGGCTTATTTGGGCAATCCAGGCTTCTCAAAGCCTCAGTTCTGTTCCACCAAAGTGACTCACCTCTAGTTAGTAGAGTTGAGTCGAGTTGCCACAATAACAAGCACCTGAGCACAAACCTAGTAGGACCAAACCAAGGACCAGGCTAACTGTTAAGATTATTTTAGCTTTGTCTCCAAGAACGTCTAAAGAAACAGTTTAGTCAAAAGTTTCAGAACGAGCATCACACACCTGTGTTAGAACACCTGTCTCTGTCAGATACAGCTGAAAAGTGAAGTCGTGTGTAGCTTGAGACAATCCATACACTCCTACGCACAGGACACGTGTCTGTGGATGCTGCACTCATCAAAAAGGCACAAACCATATAAAAGCCTATGGCCATTATTTCATTCAAATGATCTTGCGCATGTGGCTGTTGTGAGGGGCAGTGTAGCTTTTACACACAGACGCACACTGGTTTGGCCTAAGGATGACAGTGGGTTCTGCCTGTTCGCTCCTTCATCATGTCTGTCTCTCTTCTTTCCCTCTCTCCCTGTCAAACTGCAAACATCTAGGCGTGTATTTTATCGTTTCTTGTTAGGGTACATGTGAAGAGGTCTGGTGCAGCTTTACTTTTATGCACAGCGGAACTTAAGCTCCACGAATTGGGAAGGGATCAGGCAACTTCATTCCTCAGCCTCTTGTCAGCCTCTTCTTTACTTGTGGAACGACCGGAAGAGGAGGGGGAGGGAAAAGAGTCATATCTTTCTAGCCAGGCTGGCACCACCTAGTGCCTCCGCTCAATTTAATTTCTCTCCAGCGACTAGGTCAGGAATTGAAATACACTAGACGGTTTGCAAGAACCCTGGAAGTTGTAGACCGCACACTGGCCAATCAGTGAAGAGCTGTGAAGCCATGCCATCAAACTCAAGCGCCTGTCTGGGTCCCTTTCGTGCCCCTGTAATGTGACCCAGCGCTTGTCTGGGTCACATTACAGCACATTACTGTTGTGCTGTACCACAAAGAGGTCGAGATGGATGTAGACAAAGCCATACATTCTGTGTTGGCAACGATTCCCGAAATTGAAGATTTAAAGCCAGAACAAAGAGAATGTTTGTTGAATTTTATCAAGGGAAAAGACGTTATTGCCATTCTTCGTACGGGATTTGGTGCATTACATACATCACGACCAAATAGCAGAGATTGGGTCCTAATGCTGCGAGATCAGACATTTCCATGAAGTGAAACTGGCTGATGATGAATCAGGCTAATGTTTTTCCTCTTGCCCCTCAGATCAGAATGACTGGAAAAGTTCCCTGGCTCAAATCAAACTGCAGGTGTGCACTGTGGCTCCCCTCTTGTTTAGTCAGATCATAAAAACCATCATATTTTTGGCCCATTTTCCATGATGTCTTTGCTCCACTGATGTGGCCTTCCCAGAGTCACCAGGAGCACGCACAAAGTGCAGCTTAAACTTGAGGCCTGAGTTAGCTTTGATCAGACTTAGGCTCATTTCTGTCATGGAAGGAGTTGAGGCTTAAATTGGAGATGGAGCTAGTTTCAGCTCAGGAATTCAGGATAAGCCTGGACTTGTTAAGCCACTTTGTTGGAATATCCCCCAGGTCCCTCACAAATAAATAAAATCAGCCATTAATTGCTTTGCTACAAAATTCAACCACACTGTTGCAGTTTTACAACTATCCAATATGGATTATATTGAATGATGAAAAATAGAATGTGGTCACTCACAGTCTGCACTCCTGTGAGGTCCTTGTTCAGTCCCGTCAGCGTCTGGTACAGGACCTGCATCACAAAGTTGTTTTTATCATTGGTTAAGTACTGCAATTTAGAGCAAATTTAGATGGCCATGTATTTCAACAATAATATTTTGCAGAAATAAAGGTCCTCACATTGTCATTTTGTCCTGCAGCTGTGGGCAGAGCTTGGATTTGCTCTACATGCCTCTCATAGTCCTTTACTTGAGTCAAAGTCCTGGGGATGTATACCTGCTTAAATACCTGGGGAGTGGACATATTGATTCAATCATAATAAGATTGGATTACTGTGATTGTACATTTCCTGCATTCAGACCTCTTCGTCTATGCAGTCCTGAGCTGACCGTTGTTCTGCAGTCCGCTCTGAGGCCAAAGTAATAGCCTGCAGAAGCAAACAAATATTTCAATGGATTCTACATCTAAAATGTACTGCATTAAAATTACCAAACCTTGTCCAGGTAGGCCTGTATATTGGCTTCATTAATAGACAGATCGGTAATAAAGTCAAACAGTTCTCTGATTGTCATCACAGCTACAGCCCGCTTTGCAAAGAAATCTGAATAAAAACACACACACTGCTGTTAGACAAATCTCTATATACAAATTCAGGAATATAGTAATTTGATGACATACTATGTATGGACAAAAACAAGCTGAAGTTTAAGGGTTGAAAAAAGGCAACAGCCTTGATCCCAAATTTTACTTGTTTCTAATGTTATTAGGTTATTTTTTCAAACCAAGACTTTGTTTTCATACCTGACAGTTTCAACTGACAGTTTCAACTGACAGTTTCAACTGACAGTTTCAACTGCTCACTAGTAGTGAGAGTGGTCACAGAGTGGTCATGTGATGTTGTTGTGAAGTGTCCTGTCAGCTGATTTATACAGTTTTTGGTGGCATCTTCCTTCCAGTAGGAAGACGGTCTGTATAAATCCAATGACCAGACACATCACGGCAACATATACACACATTTTTATTATATATATATATATATATATATATATATATATATATACACATACATATATATATATACACATACATATATATATATATATATATGTGTGTGTATGTATATATATATATATATGGGTGTCAAATTATCGCGTTAATTGCGATTAATTAATTACAGTCATATTTAGCGCGTTGTTTTTTAATCGCGTTAATCTCATTTTTAATATAAAATATATAATATATAATATATATACACACACACACACATATACATACATACACATATACACACATATATATATATATATTAGACATATATATTAGTTCTGGGCTGAATGACTCCCTGGGAGAGTGCTTCCGCCAATCCATAAATAACCAGGGGAAAAAAAACATTGTTTTATATCTATAATTGAGATTTGAGAATTTATTTCCCTAATGTTTTAGAGGGAACTACACTACGCATCTGTGGTAAAACTGCTGTTAGGGCAGTCAAAATAACACAAAGTTAGAGGTGCATGATCAACATTTTTGTCCTTATTGGCTTAATTGGTTAATTAAGCAGAAGCATCATATGCATAAGCAGCATGGCATAGCTATCACACTCTCCTGTCTTGGGTCAGCCCTGTTATACAAGAGAGGGCTCATGTGAGCCTGTCGGAGGCACAGGACAGCTGCCCCTGCCACCCCTTGGGCAATGCTCCGCTGAGTGGGTGCCAACCTCGCCCACCCCAAAAACCGCCACTACCCAGGTCTAAAAGAAACAGAAGTGGTACCATTGACATTTGTGCAGTCTTTGCGGAGGAATTCCAGTGCATGTGGATGGTCATGTTCTACTGACTGAGACACATCAATGATGTACACGTCTCCATCATGAAACCTGCATAACACACAAGGCGTGGAAAAAAGTCATGGTTCAATCCTGATGACTCAAATAGCTTGGTACATGTATGCGTATGCTTTTGGTTTAGGAATACATCATGCATTTACTGGACTAGTAATGGAGTTTTACACCATTAACATTAAGCAGTATTTACATTTTGGTAAGTGCAAATTGGCTTACAACATGTTGAACTCGCTGAGGTCAGCATGAACTAATCTTGCATCTTGGTACATTTTTCTCATATGCAGAACCACCTGAAGGTACAACTCCCGAGCCTTAGATTCACTAAGAGCTGCATTCTTCAACAGAGGAGCTGGGCTGGAAGTAGGAAGGATTAGAACGATAACCTTTGCTTACTTCTCAAAATCTAGAGCTACTTTACTTGAGAGCAAAAGGGCAAGCCTTACATGTTATCTTTTCCAATGAAGCCCATAAGCAGGACATGGCTCCTTAGCAGCAGTGGTTCTGGACTCAAAACACCAGCCATCTGTAATCTGAAAGCACAGAATTCACCAAACTGACCAGCTGTAAATGAAATAAATGGTAAAAGGGAATATTTGACAAATAATAAAGTAAAAGAAGAAGAGTATCACAGGTGTCTCTCTGAATGTCAGGGTGGATTTCCTAATGGGGCCTCAGTTAACGCCTGCAAACTAAAATGCACAACATGAAAAATGATCAAGCTAGGTGGACCTGTCCAAGCACAACTCAAGAACTGTTCATGACATGTTGCTCCAGCTGCACTGAGGGATAGATCAAATCTGAAGAAAACATATCTCTTATATCGGATCAAAAAGTATACCTTAATGTTAAAATATAATTCATTTTATTCAAATGTAAAAACTTTGTATGGCAAAAATATTTCAGTTTTGATGTAATTTTATTACATCCTATTTATTAGAACTTGAATAAGAACAACCTTAACCCTTGTACCCTGTTAAGGGAAATTTGTGTATCTGAATGTATATTTATCACGATAAATTTGGCTGTGGTTGTACCATGAAAATCCACACAAATGTGTTTTTTTCAGGTTTATAATATAAGTGATATGAGTTTCAGGTACAGACTGATATCAGTCTTGTCCCTCCACTCTGTCACACCTCAAGCAAGGTCAAACAAGATTGTGCCATCAGATTTGTCTTTTTTCAGTGATGCACGTTTACAAATTAAATCATTATCTCACCTCAGATGAACAAAATGTGATTTGCTTACTGATTCTGTAGAAATCAGATGTTTTTCATATTTTATTTTATTTTTTTATTTTATATTTTGTCATATTTTTGTCATTATTTTTTTTCCAATACGACACACCATGTATGTCCCTGACTGGCTAATCCATCTGTCAATCACATCCATCAGTAATCAGGGAGATTTACTAGTGACCAGACTCACATTTTTGTAAAGTATTGAAGAAGTTTGTATTATTGAGGCAAACTTCTGAAATTTTGCAATCCTATCTAAACTTGCAGAACAAAATATTTATGTTCACAATCTCGTGCGCTCGATGGTGCCATTGGTGGTGTTACAGAGCAGCACTTTGTGAATGTTTGTGCGGACAAAGCACTCCAACGAGCCAAAACAAACATGGCGACGCCGGGAAACATACTTCAGCCTATTTTAGCTTAATTGCAGACTATTTTGCTTGTAAAAAGATGCAGAAGATAAGCACTTTGTACATTTATGGACAGGGAGGATGTCTGCTTTTCTCTCAACTGTATTTAACAGAAGTTAGATTTTTCGGCTTGTTCCGCTGTTGTGACACTTCAACCAGTCAGATTCAAATAGTCACCATGACCTTTCGCGTTTTCAGATCGCTTTCAACTAGAGCCATTCCAAACTGATAATGTGTAGAAATCAATTCAGAGTGCTACTCATATTAATCTGGCATGAGCCAACCATATAAATATTCCACTATTAATTGTTAAATTGAAGTACCTGAGCAAGTTCCTCATCTCTTTCTCAGCCCATGTCCGTACCATCTTTCGAGGGTTTCCTTTACAGTAGCCATGGCGGAACCTGCAGGACAGCAGAAGCACCTCATTGTGCTGCTACAACAAAAAGCCAAACTACATGTAAAGACCTAATGCAGACCTGCAAACTCGTCTAAGAAATAAAGGGGATAGTGTCCGGCAGTAGCGAACGGGTGGGGGCGTTATCCAGAATAATTCATCCAAGTAATTAATCTAAATATTCATTACTGTTTTTTTTTTTTTTAATTAAAGACAACAGAACATAACATTCAAAAAACAAAACAAACATCAATGTTTAACAATTGCAATATTCAACATAAAAACCTAAAGCAACAACCACAACACCACAACAAATACAAAAAAAGCCCCCCCATTTCCCCCCCCCATCCACCCACACCAACACAAAGTCAAAACAATATAAATGTGATAGTGCAACATAAATACACCGCTAGGCTCCCTAACATTGATACACTGCGGCCAATTTATAATTGAAGTTCCTTTTGTCTCTCTTCCTTTTCTTTCTTTTTTTTTTTTTTTATTATAATTTTTTTAATTTATTAGTCCCTATACTCAAACTAATATTTATTTTCACCATCATCAGTTCCCCTCATCATCTTTCACCATCCGCCACAATCTCAAAAAACATAACCCTAAAGGCATTTATTTTTATTAATTATTATTACTGTTATTATTATCACCATTATTCCTACTATTATTTCCACTACCATTATCACTATTACTATTTTTATTATTATTACATCCATAATACCCATTATTATCTCTACTATTAATTACAATAATTTCAACAATATTTCATTATTATTATTAGCATTATCATTGGTAGTAGTAGCAGTAGTAGTGACAGTAGTCCCTAATAGTAGATATATGAATATTATATATATCCCTACTTTAAATCTTTATGGCCGACATCAGTTTATATGATATATTAGCATATATATCACATACTAATTTTCTCCCAGGTATTTAAGAACTTCTCATCTCTTCTTATACTTTTTTTTCTCTTTGTCTGTTTCAATTGTATAACCTTCCCAGGTAAAGTACTGATAATATTAACTACTTAAAAAAATATATTTAAGTGAGAATTGTTTTTTTTGCTTTAAAAATAAAACGTTTTCCTAGGGTTATAATTAAATTGACAGGATCACTTCTATTTTCAAAATCTCCTAGTAAGGCAGAGGCTAAGTTCAACTTGAAAACCAAACCCAACTCTAAACACATCTTCTCTACCTAACTCCAAAAAGAAGATACAATGTGGCAGTACCAAAACATGCAATGCAAAAACGGCATTCATCAGTATCTATCATATTCCAAATTTTTAACATTTTCCTTGTAGGCAGAAAATTGTATATTTTTTTTATTTGAAAAAATCTATTTTGTACATCAATATTGGTATTGTAAATTAATTTAAAAATCCACTCCCATGGTAAAGGGCAGTCAATTATGTCCTCCCACTTTCTAAATGTATTGTAAGGGATTGTCTTTAATTAATTATATGATAAATAAAATGTATTTATTTGTTGGTTTATTTTTATTCCTTTCATCCAAATAGATTTTTTTGCTGATGGTTTACAAACCGAAAGTTTATAAAACCCTTGCTTCCATTTCCTTCCCAGAGCTGTAATTATTTGATTATACGAGTAATGCGAACAAACATTACCATATACATTTGTAAAACCTTCATATTTCATGATCTTACCTTTTTCATTGGTTAGATCATTTACAAAAATAATAGTTAGTTTCTATGTTGTTATTAATTAACCCTTTTATATGTTTATCCAATCTAACTTTAATATTTATTATTGCAATGGAAATATTAGCTAAGTATGGTGACAACGGGCATCCTTGTTTTAGGCCTCTTAAAAGGGGTACTGACTCTGAGATGTATCCATTATTGATAATTCTACAATTCGTTTTGTTATACAATGTTTTAACCCAATTTATTAGAGAATCACCAAAGTTAAAAAAAAAAAAGAAAGACTTTTACATATAAACTCTAGGTTTATCTGATCAAATGCCTTTTCTAGATCTGCAACAAAATTTGTCCTTTTTTATTCTCTGTATTATAATTTTCAATTATTTCCAACAGCTGTCTAATGTTATTACCTATATTTCTACCATGTAAGAAGCCAGATTGATCCTGGTGAATGATGTTTGGCAAAATGGATTTAAGTCTTAGAGCTAAACATTTTGCCAGTATTTTTGCATCATAACACTGGAGAGTAATAGGTCTCCAGTTCTTTAAATATACTGGGTCTTTGTACTGACCATTTGATTCTTGTTTCAATAACAATGAAATGAGACCACCTTTTTGGGAGTCAGTCAGATACCCCATTCTGTATGAGTAATTAAAGCTCAAGAGTAATGGGTTCTTGATTTCTTTGAAGAATGTTTGATAAAATTCAATAGGTATTCCGTCTATTCCTGGGGTTTTCCCTTGTTGAAAGGACATGACAGCTTCAGAAAGTTCTTCCTCACTTATAAAGGCCTTCACATAGATGTTTTTCTAATCCACTCAGTTTTCCATCAAATTTTTTTGGGAAGAAATCTTCAGTATCAGGTGACCTGATGTGAGAAAATATTTTTATAGTAATTTTCAATTTCTTTTAATACTGTAGATAGTGTAGATAATATACTTCCATTATTTGTAACTATTTTACATATATTCTTTTTAGAATGATTTTTAATTTGAAGGTTCAGAAAAAATTTTGAGCATTTTTCACCTTTTTTCATCCAGGTCGCTCTTTTAAGGTCATAGCTTTTTATTAAACTATTTTCTACCAGATCAGTCAACTCCTCCTGCTTAGCCATTAGTGTGTCAAGATGCTCATTTGTTGAATTTATGTCTTGGTCTACTTTTTGTTGTAGTTCTTCAATATCCTTCTTTAATTCTAATTCCTTTATTTTAATTTTTTTTCTTTTCCATGATAAATAGGCAATAGCATGTCCCCTAAAACTACATATAAGTGCTTCCCACACTATAAGGGGGTTTGAAAATCCTTCATTAAATTTAACAAAATCGTTAATGAAAACTTTCGTTTTTTTAATAAATTCACCATCTTGGAGTAGCATTTGATTGAATTTCCAATATCCACATCCATGTATACTTTCTTCTATTACAAAATTTAAACCTATACAATTATGGTCTGAATGTAATTTGTCTTCTGTTGATGATGTTGTAACTTTATTTATCAGGGAGAATGAAATCAAAAAATAATCAATACGGCTTGCTTGATTCTGTCTTCTCCATGTGTATCTTGTAAATTTGGGGTTTTTAAATCTCCAGATATCAGTTAAATCGAAAATATCCATAATGTTATTGATCTTTGAAAAGACTGAGGATGGTAATTTATTGAAGTATTTCCTTTTCTATCTAATGATTTGTCTAAGGCAACATTAAAATCCCCTACTATAATCATTTCCCCCTGTTGTTCCAATAATCTGTTACCTATCTCATCAAAAAACAAAGGTTCATCTACATTTGGCCCATACAGATTCACCAAACAGATTCTTTGTGTCTGAATTGTTAAACTAAGAATGAGCCAATGTCCGTGCGTTAGAGGTGAGATCGGGCCTAAAAAATCCAGCCCGACCCGACCGGCCCGCGGGTATTAAAACCCGACCCGGCCCGAGCCCGACCAATTAACTTGATTTGCAGGCCCGAGCCCGAAGCAAACCCGAAATGTCATATTTTATTTGTGAGGACTCGGGAGGAGGAGCAGTGCTCAGCGTCGAGGTGCCAGTCTTTTTGCTCTCGTATGAAAGCAAAGCCACATTGACGACATTCAGCGAAGCCAACGCAAGTTTCTGTAGCATTTTCAACAATCAATTTGAAGCTTTTCCACACCTCACTCTTACCGGTGCGTGTTTGTCTTTTCAGTTCTCCTGCCTTTAGTTTAACTTCTTGCTCCTCCATATTGGGGATACCAGGTCAAAATAGATGCAGACTTGCGGAGGGGAAGATTATTAAATTAAGAGGGGGCGTTCACGTGCGCAGAGCTCTGGCTCTGCGGATCCTGTTTAGTAGTTAGATAGCAATTACATTACATTACTTCTCCGTTTTATCCATATTATTTATTTTATAACAAGTATTCCTTAGTTTAGTATCCACACATCGTTTTAGCATACATTTTATAAACATATATTTATTTGAAGCCCGAGCCCGACCCGACCCGACCCGAAGTAATGATTGACATTTTAGGCCCGACCCGACCCGAATTTCGGGTCGGGTCAGGTCGGGCTTGGGCTCGGTCTTAAGATCTTACCTCTACCGTGCGTATCCCTTTTTAATGATCCTAATTGGAAATTTAAATGTTTCTTTACCAATATCATAACACCTTTTGAATTACTGTTGCCATGTGAAAAGAAAATAGGACCATCCCACTCTTTTTTCCATTTTTCTTCATCTGTATTTGTTGAGTGAGTTTCTTGAAGGCAAAAAATATCTTGCGGTTTATTTTTTAGCCACATAAATGAGTTTTCTCTTTCTGTTATCTGCAAGGCCATTGCAGTTATAGCTAATTATCCCAACTTCATTGTCCTTAATTCCATAAACCATGAGGGCTCAAAATGTTTATTACACATTTTATTAGTTCTCTCATTTCCATTTCCCCTAAAATAAAGTTTCCCATAACTGAATTCTGTTGCACCCCTACACCTGATAAGAAAAACATAACAGGGCAGACAAACAAACAAACATACAACAAAGACGTACAGACATACAAGGACATACAAACATACAACATAGACATACACACATGTACCCCCCAAAGCAAGAAAAATAATGGCGCATTCCCCATTTTATCCATTGCCCAGTCCCAAAGTAAACTGAGTAGCTCCGAACGTCAGTCCTGTCAAGTCCGTATAATCTTTACCATAGCAATATTGTGATGACGTAATCACTATGCGACTTTGTTATTGTTCATCATGCCTGTACAGTTCACCATTCACATACAGTTTATTGACTATGAGACGGACTTTCTGCCCTTTTTGCCTAAAGGATTTCATAACTGGAACTAACTTACGTCGCCTTTCAACAACCTCGGCGGGATATTGGTTGTCATAATGAATCGGGTGCCTTTCAATTTTTTAGACAGGGCAAACACTTCATCTTTTCCCTTGAAGCTAGCGAACTTTACAACCATGGGTCTCGGTTTACCTTGCTCCTTTCGCTGTCCCAGTCTATGTGCCCGCTCAAGTTGGATCTTCCTTGCACTTTCCAACCTGAATTCGAGTTGCTCCTGTAGGAAAGTCCTGACGAGGGTCTCCGCCGCACCGTAAGTCTCTCCTTTTACCTCATCTATCCCCATCATGAGCAGGTCGTCCCGCATGCTCCTGCAGCGGAGATCCAGCAGTTCCGACTTTAACTTCTCGTTTTCATTTGTCAGGCTAGTAGTTGTAAGTGTCAAACCAGCCACTTGTTTTTTTAATGTCTCTTTATTCTTATTCATTACTGTTTACCAAGTATACGACACATGCCATACAACAAGATGTCAAATAGCTTCATGTTTACATGAGAGCTTTAATTCTGATTAAAAATAATTTTACTCGGAATAAAAGTTAATTCCACTTTAAAAAGACCATGTAAACACTTAATTCCTAACGATTATTCAGAATAAAACTTAAATCCGAATTATGTGGGTGGTTTATTCCGATTTTAAAGCCGAATTAATTTATTCCGCGATCATGCAAACATTTATTCCTCTTAAAAAAATTATTCCGTTCATTCAGCGCATGCGCGTTGGATCGCCCTTCTAACGCGATGATGCACAAGATAGTGAAAAAAGTTTGTATCATGTTTGTGTCAGGGTCAGCCCGATCAACATGAACTCATAAAACAGCAGCATGTAGCCTATAACTTTGTATACAATGCACTGCACATCAGTCTGAAGCAGAAGCACTGAGTTCGGGCAACAGCGGTAAAGACACAGGAGCACTCAACGTAGCACACAACCCCTCCTTGGTCTTGTGCCATCCTCCTAGTGCGTTGGTGTCGTGAGATATGTCCAGAGGCGCCATCCTCTATGTACTGGTTCCAATCGGGGGTGAGCAAGACCAGTATGAAATGGACTGGGTAAGAGCGGCTCCGTGCCATCCTCTGTGCACAGGATCCGTGCGGCGAAAGCGAGAATGCCCTGTGGACTAGGGATGGGCATGATTAATCGATAATTGATCATTAAGAATTTCATCGATTACGTTAATTTTAATCGACAAACCGAATGTAGGTTGCTGTGCGTAGCATGACCAAACAGGGGTCTGTACATCTGTCTCGCTGCACTCAGAAGGAGCGAGCAAACAGAAACATTCGGTCAGCCTGCAGTGTACCGAAGCACAAATACGTATTTAACGATGACTTGTACAAGAAATTCCACGCTTTCCGTTGCGTTCGGGACAAGTGTGAGTCCATGTGCACAGTGTACAAAGCAGGAACATATGTTTCGGTGTCCAGTGGGAAAAAGCTTTGCCAGGTGAGAGTCGCGCAATGTCGATGACGAGTCCCAACCTCCCACCCCCCGTACGGTGTCCTGGTTTTGACAAACGCAAATATGGTCACACTAACCTGTATTCCATTGAGTCATGTCTTTTAATCCAACAGAAGTTGACCGCATCAGCGACACAAGAGCTGTAGTTTTATCTTCGTTGAGTTTATGCAAATTAGCGATGCGGTTTTAAGTTTCGTTTCTGTGAGAGTTGCGCAAAACTGAATTAAACACATTATAATCTCAAACGGATTGATGTGGCTCTAGAGTCGTTAAGGTTTATATGTCGTAAAGTTGAATTTATTTATGCTCATTAGTAGTGCAGATAGTAATAATAATGATGATCATTTTAATATAAAAACGTTAATGATTAATCGATAATCGATCGTTAATTCTTCCGACGATCGATTAAGAAAATTTCATCGAATGCCCATCCCTACTGTGGACTACAGGTCCGGGCAGGTTCATACTGCCCTCTGTGCTCGAGGACTGTGGCTGGAACCAAGATGGTGCAAAACATCCAGACAGAAGCACAAATGTCCTTTGCGCATTTGGTTCTTCCTGGGGAAAGCGCTTCTCAGGCCCAGGTACCCAGCACCACTCCCCACTCCAGCTCATCTGGGCCCGACCTGAACCTGAGCTGCTCCTTGCTAATTCAGGAGTCTGGGTTAGGACCGCTGTTCCCCAGTTTATATGGGCATATCCCCATGCGTAACGACAAACCAAGATGACAAACAAGCCAGTAGCAGCTGAAGTTTATGTTTTCTTCCGGTAGACATAAATATGTTCATGTCCCTGTCCAATCAGAACCCTTCTCCATTCCAGGAATGGGAATAAAGGCAAATTAATGTGCTTTCCATATAAACCTTAATTCAGAATTATTATTTCCATGTACACTTGAAAGAGAATAATATAATTCCAAACTATCTAATCTAATTCGGACTAATTAACCCCCCCCCCCACACACACTCTCTGGTTCTATGCGATTCACGTGAATGACCCAATTGACCAAGAAAAAGGCGACTGTAGCCGAAAAGTGACAAGTTTGCAGGTCTGCTAATGTCATGTGCTGACTTACCTGAACTCCCCAGAAACATACTTGTCCCGGTCTTTGAACTGCAAGATGGATGTCTTGTAGATCTTTATGGCTCTGCTCTTGCCTTCTGAAGTTATGGCATGATATACATTGCCTGGATTGTATGGGGTAAAAAAAACAAATTGTGAAACTGCTATTTTGATGCCAATAGTTCAGGTGTTCAAATGAGAAGAAAAATGCCAAAAGTTGCAGTGGGGCCCCAAATTGGCTGCATAGTTATTCTGGAAGACCTGGCCAAAACATTTGCAAACCCGTGGAGTAAATACTTCAGAGTTGTGGTTCTAAACTGGGACTATGGGTGCACTCACACTAGGCTTCTTGAACCTTGCTGTTCTCATCCTCAGACTAACCTAATCAAGACGCGGTTGATGTGTAGCAATCGGACTTGTGTTCTACAAAAATCTGGGATGGCTCTGGCTGAAAGAAAACACATGCTGTTATTTTAGTCAAATTTCTGACTAAAAACACTGCTCTAGGTTCTAAGTTCTGCTTTCACTTCACAAATGCTCTCTATTAACATTATTAATGAGGAGACAGGGTGCAGACCCTCCACCAGAAAAATTACATTACAATTACAAAGGTCCAGAGGGCCCGAGAGTCAAACCCAGACCCTTTTTGCTGTAGGGCGCGAGTGGCCGCCACACAGCTCCTAGCCCCCAGTGCTTATGTAAAACCTTTGCAATAAAGCTAATCATCTTCTGCAGATAAAATACTATCTCACTTTGGATTTCAATAGCACATGACAGAAAAAGCGCTTTACATTATTATTTAATTACCTGGTAGTTGTAAGCTATTATTGTAGCCACAATCCTAACCTTATCCCGGGGGACAGACTGGCAGACTGGCAGGCTGACAGAATCGACCACCACCGACCACCACCGATCACCACCAATCACTCACTTGCCCACCACATTCATACTAGACAAGGTGTAAACAAGGTCAGTCAGGCCTAAACAGATTAAACCAGCAATACCTCTTTGCCAGTGCTGATGCATCCATTAATTTCTGAGATGATTCCCCGACTCAACATTTTAAACAGAATCATTCTTGTTCTAGGATCCAAGACCTACAGCAAACAAGAAAGAGCGTGAGGATCTCATTTGCAATGTTCATCAAAATACAGCTAAATAAAGGGGAATAATGATCAAAGGATATGTTGTTTGTAATTAAACATTTAAGACAAACTATCAACATAAATGCACTCACTTGTTCTACTGTTGCCCGGTCGGACTTGTCTTTTACTCTGAACCTGGACAAGACAAATACGACTACAATAACATACTGTAGCAATACTGTACTACAACACTAGACTGTAAATATTTAATCAAGACAATATTACACCTATAAAATACACTTTGAAATAAAGGCTCAACCTACTTTGAAAAGCATGTCATTTTACTGTTAGCAGGGTCACCTGTCAACAAATCTGACCTGTGACTTGTCACATGCTGTTAATTCTAGGTTATATAGTACACCTTTATCTGTTCATTAAATACCGTCAGGTAACTGATAAAATCAATAATATTAGGGTCACATGAACATACGTGTCATTGTCCTTCTGCCTCTGAATCAAAGTAACTCTATTGATGACGGAGTCAGACAGGTTGAGTTTACCTGAGAAACAATAAAATAACAAGAACAGTAATGGTTCTGAAACATTTCAAAGAACTGTGAGATGGCAAAAAAGATGGATATTACAGGACTTACCAAGGTTAATTTTATTCTCATACTTTCTAAGAACCTTGTCTGCAGGTGTTGAACTTGAAGTTTTACCATTAAACACCCTTCGGTTTACCTGAGTGAAAAGGGAAAATATGCAAGATTGTATTTGTAAATGATTTTTATTTGTTAGTTTTAATAATTATAGGAGCACATGAGTAATCAGTGAATTAATCATTACAGACTGAATATAGTAGAGAAGTGAAAAGATTCAATATTATCTGAGAACCTACATTAAGACTAAGGTGCTAGCTATGGACATTGAAAAATGAATATTCCACTCTCAATAGTAAACATCTCAAAATTCACAAATAAACATTTTTAACATAAAAAAGGTGTTAGGTCAGGTGAGGAATGCCATTAATTTAACAAAAAAAAACAAAATTGCCCTGATGTTGGACAGACATCAGGGCAATTTTTCCAGGCCAAATAAGTCAGGTATGTGGAGATGCAAGCCTGCTCACTGTAAGAACGTACAGTGTGTCTTTTACATTTCTGTGCAATAAACAGAGCCAAAATGAAAGAAAACATGCTTCAGTCTACATTTGTGGCTAAAATGTTAGTGACTTTAAGTGAAGCTCAACACTTAATCGCTTTAAACATAATAATATGAAAATAACATTAAAACAATACTTTTCTGATATTTACCCATGTGGAAGAGTAACTAATTACAAATACTCACGTTACTGTAATTTTGTAGATTTTTGGCTTAATTATACTTAACTTACTTACTTAAATTTTAAAACATGTACTTGTAATTGAGTATAATTTTAGCTGTGTAATTGTAATTAATTACTTTTAAAATCATGAGTACTGACTACAGCAACAGGCGCAAACATCCTGAAGCACAGCTGTCTCACGGTTGCCTTTGCTGCTCTCTAAACCCATGAATAACACAGCATCGCCTGCACTGATTGAACAGAGCTCAGAGAATATACAGATTATGGTTTGAAATGAATAAATTCAACTTAGCCATTAAAAAAAAAAACATTTTAGCCATTTAACTGCACTGCAAATTTGTAATATAGATAGCACACTATCTTTATGGCCAAGCCCTAGTACTGAACAGACCTGAGAGTTGGGTCCAGTCATAGGATGATCTGAAGTCCACGTCCACTCATAAGCCTCAACTTCATCATCATCATCCTCATCTTCAGCATCAGAATCCAACTGGTCATCACAAACCTGGGTCTGCTTAGAGATTTTACTAGATTTAATCAGAAAATAAATAAATAAATTACTAAAAAGAATGCCATTTTATAGCTCATGTAATATAAATAAAGCAGAAATGTCAAACTCAGGCCCGGGAGCTAAATTTGACTAGTGATATAATTATATTTGGGCCACGAGATTGTATCAAATATGTGTTAGAGCTACAGATATGATACTTTGCAGCTGATGTCAGCAACTTTCCCTGGGGGTGTGATGCTAACTGTAAGCACTGCTCTGTGTGAGGCTTGTTGGACTTAAATCTGAGTTTTATTTTAACACAATCTGACCATAAAGAGCCAGGTGAGCAGGAGGTGATTTGTATTGTTGAACATGCCTCTCACACAAACATTACGAAGTACAGAACCAAGTTAGTTACCATTATCCACATCTACAGTTTTTTAATAACTCTCACCCCTGTCACTTCTTTGTTGAAAATCACCTATATGGGACCATAAATGCTTGTATTGATCAGAGGCTCATGAAACTTATTTAAACCCATTTTGGATTTTATCTGGAGTTTTCGCACTAACTTCTTGACAGTGCATTGTTGTGTGCATTGTGTCATCATGGTGGCCCTGTTTCACAAAGGAGGTTCAATAACCTCTGGATTTAAGAGTTAACTCAGGGTTAATCTCTCCTGAGACAACTCTAGAGTTTTCTGTTTCACTAAACAGGTATGGAGCAGAGTTAGAAAACTCAGAGACAATGAACCTTGAGGTTAAGCAGAAGACACAAGACTTAAGACTCAATGGATCTCAGAATAGAGGATTCACCATGGTTTATCGTTTTTAATGATCAAAGACTGAGTGCTGTGTACCTCTTTCAGATCTGAAATGTATCCCACAAAAATCACATTTTAAAAGAGAATTACACTGAATAAAGTATGATTGATTAATCTAATGATTTACACTTTATTTACATTATTATGATTTAGACACTTTAGAGCAGAAGGTGATGACAGACCATGCTTTTAAATCATTTGAGTAAAATAGGTGTAAAGTATAAATGAATCCAAGTTCAATTTGTGTCAAAGTTATTTAAGTGTACCTGGTCCACATTTGATTGTCCCAATCAGAGCTCTCCATCAGGGGCAGACTGATGAATCTGCTCTTGACCAGGTTCGGTTCAGTGGGTTACCGTGGTGACTAAGGGTTCTCTGTGAAGCAGAACCATCGAAACCTCTACGTTGACCTCTTTTTCTTTTCAGGGTTAACAAAGTCTCAGACTTTGGCCTAAATCTGCTTCTTGAAAAGGGGCAAGTAACTGCTGATCATTCCACCATAGAAATACATGAAGAACACCCCCAGAGTGATGTCACTGCAAAGTATCAATTGCTGGGTTTCAGTTTCAAATAACATCACAATATTCAATAAGACAATTGGGTCATTCCACGCCATTTCATCAAATTTCTAGAAAATCTCACACATCATGTTTTAAAAAAAAATTGAAAAAAATACCAGCTGGTCCTTTACTATCATGTAGCAACCCTGTGAAATTTTTGTCATTTTCAATCAATACTTTTTAAGTTACAGCTCATTTAGTGAGGGGAGTTATGTGTCAATTTACAGGCCCAAAATCGCGTCATTTTTTCTCGACCGTTTTCACAGGTCGATATCTCCGTAAGTATCACACACAGAGGGCTGAAATTTTGTAGGCTTGTACTCCTCTACCCTGTGTTCAAATAACATCTATTGAAAGCTTGGTATCTCAACTGATTGTCATTTTATATGAACTTAAAATGAAAAAAAAAGTTCAATTTCCGTGGCATACCATTTTTAGTCCCTTTTTAAACCTACTTGTAGCCCCTTAATTTTTTTTGAGAATCAAGATATGTACTAGGACTGTTAAAAGAAATCACCAAATGTTGAAAATTTTAAATGTGTATATGTGAGGGTCCTGTTAAAAACAAGAAAATGCAACATGGTCCGATATTCACATGTAATTTATGGCATGTGGGTAGTGATAAAAATATTTTGAAAAATTTTAGTTTGAAAGACCAGAAAAAGACCTTTCATATGGTACCAAACATATGTATTTTATGAAGCTCCTTAAATTTTTAATTGTATCTGGAACATTCACATTTGACACAATGACACAAGTATACAGTGACCATGTACTATGTGTTATTCCAGCAGCTAAGGTCACTAAACATTTAAAGACGGAATCAAATGTTTTTTTTATCACTACCCACATGCCATAAATTTCATATGAAAATTGGACCATGTTACATTTTCTTGTTTTTAACAGGACCCTCACACATAACCTATTTCAAATTTTCAACACTTGGTGATTTTTTAAACAGTCCTAGTACATCTTTTGATTCTCAAAAAAAATAAAATAAGGGTCTCCTACACCTACAAGTAGGTTTAAAAAGGGGCTAAAAATGGTACGCCACGGAAATGAATGAGTTTTTTTTTTTCATTTTTAAGGTCATATAAAATGACAATGAGTTGAGATACCAAACTTTCAATAGTTGGTAATTGAACACAGAGTAGGAGTACAAGCCTACAAAATTTCAACCCTCTATGTGTTGTATGTTACGGAGATATCGACCTGTGAAAATGGCCAAGAAAAATGATGAGATTTTGGGCCCATAAATTGACACATACTCCCCTCACTAAATGAGCTGTAACTTGAAAAGTAATGATCGAAAATCACTAAAACTTCACAGGGTTGGTACATGATAGTAAGGGACTATTTGATAATTTTTTCAAAATTCTTTGAGATCGAAGTGCGTGGGCCATTTGTTGAAATGGCGTGGAATGACCCAATCATATTTAAGAGAGATGGAGGCAGCTAAAATTAATAATGGTTAAAATTGGGTTTTTTGGTGTAATTAAGTGAGTTCTAGTCTATAGTTAGTCAGAGGTATTATCAGATTAAACATTTGAGTTTACCTTTAAGATATTTCATGGAAAAATTCAATGCATTCATACTGTCAGATGTCAACGCATTCTAAAATCTGAAAACTACCAACTGATGGTTTTCAGATTCTACAATGTAATGATGTCATACTCCCAGATGAGGGACAAGAGACAGATTTCCCATTGTGATTTTCTGTGAAACATCTAAAAGGAAAATAAACAAATGTTGAACCTGATTATTAGTGACAAGACTCAAGAACTCACTTTTTTACAACAAAGACAATTTTAACAATATTAATTTTAGCTCTTCCCCCATCTGTATTAAACAATATTGGCCTATAGAAAGGTGTGATGTCAACCCTGCAGAATCAAGACCCTAAGAGCAGCCCAAACATCTGAAGCCTTCACCTGTGTTCGTTCGTCTCGCTCTGCTCCTCTTCTGCGTCATCAAACTGACCCGTAACGCGATCCACCAGAAGCGCCATGCCTACAGATTATGTCGAAGTCGTATTTCTATCATCTGTCAAAGTGAAACGCTTTTAAAACAGCAACAAGAAGGAATCAAGAGCGTCGTGTGCGCAAACACGTGAAAGCATGCGGAACTACAACTCTTCTTTTGCGGAGAAGAATAGTGTCTCGCATCCAATAAGTTGTATTACCGCCATCTAGAGGCACTAACACAACACAACAGGGGTAAAACCGGCAACAAGTAAACAATTGCAGAGCTATTACACAGTGGTGGAACACGTATTCAGTTTTGTTAATTAAGTAAAAGTACAGATAAACATTTCAAGTTGATTTCGAGGTTTTATAAGTGTGGCATGTGGTTGGTAAGGTATATGTAACTGTAAAGGTCAAGTTAGCTCTTATACACATTAACATATTGTCCATGGCATTTAATAGCAATGTATTGCTTTTATTTTGGTGACTTCCTATGTGAGCGGAAGTGAAGGAAAAAACGTTAGCTTGGTATACAGAAAAGACGCAAAGTAAACACAGCAACGTTAACGGTGAAAAACAAAAACAACGGTGAAAAGTTATATAAAAACCTAAAGAGAGCAACAATCGACAGGGAAACAAGGTTTGTTTAATTTGTGAATGTATATTTGAGCTTTTTGTTATTTGTATTGAACTAATGTTAAAATATGGATTCGGTTAAACGATGTGAGCAGTGATACGGTAATCTTATGGTAATTTCTATTATTTTGTTCTTGTCTAGCTCTTACGTTGGTTCTATGACACGGAAAAGAAAACCATTAGTTCTGGCCTTCTCAATTCGACTGGACGCTACAGTGAAAGCTTGACCACCTCCACTTCGCTGTCAAGGTTTCACAGCAACTCCCGCAACGTCCAGCAGATGGCAGCAGATGGTCAGACAAAACGGTTAACGGTCTAAGGAAATTAAAGACGAAAATGGAGAATATACAAGATGAAAATCTAACAGACATTAATGAACATATATTCAGATTAAGAGCACACCAATACCACGACGTTCTGAAAGAGAAAAAATGCCTACAGCAAAAACGGCTGCTTATCAAAGGGAAGAAATTAGTAAAAAGAGACTCTTAACTCTGTATGAACAGTGGAAAATACAAGCACGTGAAACAAGAGAAAGTTTAAAGCAGGACATCTCAGAAAAGGAAATGTCAGATCTTGCAGATTAGAGCAATAGAGCTGATCTGTTAACACAATACACCAAAGTGAGAGGTCATATAGCACCTTCATCTGACATAAGGAGAAAAAACGATGCATGTGAAGCAGTAACTCATGACATTGTGAAGATCATTTTGGAAAGAATTAGTGGTATTGATGGAGATTTTGACGCAGAACATGAAGGCAAACGTTTACATGGACTATTAAAGCATGATTACGCCCGGTCCATCTATGGTTTAACCACAACATCAAATCACAGCCAAAGTTCTTCCAGTTCATGCCACGCCATGAAACGAGCTGATGCTGCAGCAGACCTTGCAGTAAAAGAAGCACAGTACAGAGCAGTACAAGAAGAACAAAAGCAAAAGGAAAGGATTAAAGCTCTAGAAGAGGAGCACATGAAACAAATGGCCATTCAAACATCAGAGATGGAACGCTTAAGAGCTGAAAAGGAAGTTGAAGCAGCTCGTGCCAGGTTGGAAGCCTACAGCAGAGTTGTCACAGCTCGATGATACAAAGTCAGTGAAAATTTAACAGGTGAGCCCAGAGTACTCACCCAGAAAGACTGCACTGCCTTTTACCTTACAATGGTGGCAATGTCCATTCCCACTTAAGAAAAACTCTCATGTTCTTCATGCCCTACTTTGAAGGTAGACTTAAGTACAGCAATCACATTTGTTACGAAGTGCTCTGATCCTGCCCAAAGAAAGTCATCTAGGTGACATGCCAGTACACCTGTGACCTCCGAATTGTCACTGAGCCAATAGAACACTGCAGGATCAACCTGAGACATTTTACCACCAGTGTTCATCATGAGTTCTTTAACCTTGTTGTACCAGTAGAGGGATGCATCTACAAGTTCATACACACATTTCTTTAGTTTTCACAGTACATTGTTCACACCTGCTTCAAGTGGGTCGAATGTAAATGTCTTTGGAGAGTCCCATGCCCTGCAAAAAGGCAGATTTAATTTAAGGTTCATAGAATGAACCTTCCACTTGTTTTGACTGGCAACAGCTAACAGCACTCTGACTCAGATGCACATATAGAAGAATCTTTCTGTAAATTCTGATTATTCACCTCTTCAAAACCTCTTGCCGAGTCATGCCTTTGGGACAATACCATTTGGTGTTTCTTTGAGTGTACAGACCCATCTAGAAGATACACATTTTTGACCTTTGTCTGTGATTTCCTCAAAAACATTATTTTGCCAGTTTTTGATTTCTTTCTGTTTAGCACAGTTTATCAAAAGAGATGTTTTCGACAATACATCAGACTCAATGTGAAGATTGTCAACATGTGTCATGTCTTGACCCTTCTCATTAACTTTAATGCAAATTAGGGTCATTTGTTTTCCCCCAGAAAGGGGCGGGAATGTCTCTCACAGGTCAAGTTCCCAGATATTCCTGTCTAACGTATAGGAAGTCAACAATAGCTCCCTTTAAGGTGGTGTTTATCTGATAGCAAAGTAATGTGGTTTTTACTTTTATTTTTGGCACACTTAAACATGCTCCCTCCTTACGCCGTTTCAAGACATGCTTGCAGAGAAACAATGCTTTTACCAGTCTTGTTGGTGTTGCAAGTATTTTGTCAGTAGCCAAGTATTTTTACAGTACTTTAATATTGCAGGTTGTAATGAACATGTAAAATCAGAATATATGTAAGCTAGATTTTAATACTAAAAACACAGAAAAAAGAATGTCCTCTTGTCCTCTCTAATTAGTTAATTTTATAAAATCACCTTTCGCAATGGCACACTACATTAAAAAAGCTTGGTTATGCACAATGTAAAGTCTTCAAGCCCACTCCTAAATTATGTGTCTATTACTTAGTGAGCACAGGGACTTCAGGGAGCCCAGGACTAAATTCCATCTGGGTACAAAATACCCAAGTCTTGCAAATACAATTTCTTTAATTAAAAATGTCTGTAGGGTGATGATATTCAGATATTTATTTATCTCTGAACTAGTGACAAAGTCAGGAACTAATGACATAGTAAAAGTATTTCAACACATATAGTCAATTGTATAAAAACAAAAAAAAAACATCTTGTGGATGTCCAGTTCATGTAATTGGTCAATATTATTTTGCTACCAAGAGCTGAAGTCTCCGTAAGTGCCTCTGATTTTGGGCTTCTTGGCTGAGGATGTACTGGTGGAGGGTCCACTGTCGTCTTCAATTGTCCGTTTTCTGAACAAGAGGAAAACATAAGAGAGCATATTTAATTTATAGCAAGTTGAAGACATTCAATGCCACTGTACAAAGGCTAAAACAATAGCACAAACTGAGCGACTGTGGACATTGACTACATATCAAAGTGACAGGGACTGGTTTTGGACCAGAGACTTTAGGCTTCCCAGATGTGGCTCCCGCCTGTCCCGGCATTCTGCTACTACGGACTCACCTGAGGTACAACCAGAGCTATTGCTCCGCACACCCACATTATGCACAGAGCGTAGGGCACCAAGTGCTTGCGGGGGCACCACGGCTCGATTGCATTTCATCACCTCCCCAGCTCCCTTTTTTCTTTAATGAGAAACCGGTGCCATAGTGATCGCCTTTCGTGTGTCTGCTCCACTCCGCTGTCACAGCTCTGAGTGAATGTCAGAGTCCGGCCACGGTCCACGGCATCGTGCAGTTATCTACAGTTCTGATGGCAGCTTATCTAATGGTGACTAACTTTATAAACTAACCAAAGCGGCACAATGGGGATAATTTGGTCACGACATTAAATGGAGCTGATGACAGAAATGGTACAAGAATGTGAGGAAATCCAACATCGCAGCATTAGGACCGCAGACAGGGTAAGAAAACAGACTTCAGAACATCGCTGTAAATGGTCTCATGTGAATGAGCAGCTTTTGTACAGTTCCAGATCAAACCAAACTATAGAGCAGAGCTGAGCCGATACTGGAAACGGGTGAGGGGCTGTGCTCTGCTGCGGGAGGGCATCTGGACAGCGCACAAACATTCCGCACAGCACACGAACATGTTATAAATATTAGGCATTTATCATCCTAATGTATTTCCAAATAAAAAGTCTTGAGCATGTCACACGTTGTTTGTCAATGGACTAGTATTTTTACGATTCTGGCAATTCACTCAACGTGCCATATCACTCCCTGCTCCACTCCACCCCAATATTCAGGCACAGCACACCTCTTGTTTTGAGCTACACACCCCACACTTGCACTAGAGCTAAGATCAGGGGCAAGATCAGGCCCAAGGAGTGCAGCAGCTTCAAAATCGCACATGAGGACACTAAGTCAGGTTACATAATCTTGAAGTAGGTTTCTCTGCTCACACAATCAAATTTAACTGGTGCCAGGCTGTGAAGATCAAAGCATGCTGGGTAATAGAACTTGCAAAATTCAAGCACATGTGCTCAGTAAGATTCAAACTCCAGTATCTTACCAGCTGTGCCATACAAATAAAGCAGCAGTTACCTACTAAGTTGAGGAGTTTGTCTTAACGGATTGTATTGTTCAGATGTTGCCAGTGTCAGCCCCAAGGCAAAAATCTGTACTAAAGTCTGAAGTGTTAAGCATCTATGTACGCACGCTGTGGCTGGGTTGATATATTTGCCCACTCCTTGTTTGAAGACCTTTGGCTCATTCTTCTCCTTGGTTTTGGTAGGATTACAGGCCTGTTTCTCCTCCTCCAGCCTTCGAAGCTCCTTTTCCCGTTCTGCAGCAATCTGGAAAATATAGCCATAATTTATGCATAAAGCATCCTCATGAGAAACAAAATTTCCAGATGATCACTACTGAGAGAAAAACAAAACCGAATCTAATTTCTGACATTAACCTGAGCATCAGCCTCTTCATAGGGGTCCACAAACACTGATGCTGTAAGGATCTTAATCTCCTCCTGTCAAGAAAAGGCCAAAGCATTCACAATAATTGTCACTTTATGAATACAATAAACCATCAGGTTTCTTTTACCTTTGGCTTGTCTGTTTTAGGGTCACTTTCCACATTCTCCATGGCTGTTAGAGTCTCAAATCCCCCCACAACCCTGCACACATTACAAGTACCACTCAGATGGGTGACAAAAAAAAAAAACATAAAAGAAAAGGCCTTAAGCTTATGTTAGCAGTGAGGCTGACCAGGGCAAATGTGAGGGTTTCAAAAGTAAATTTTAAAGCACTTATTAACAGTCTTTCTGCACCTGGGCTCTTTTACACAACACAGAACTGCCCCAGGAGCACGATGTGCGAAACATGCAGTCCTGAGCGGTCCATCCTTGCACATTTGGCTCTTCCCGCAGAAAGCGCAGCTAACACTGCTCCCTGACCTGAATCGGAGCTGCTCCCACTGGTTCAGGACTCTGGTTTGGACTGCGGTTCCCCAGTTTGTCTGAACGTATCCCCAAGCTTAACGACAAATCGAGATGACAAAAAAGCCGGTAGCAGCTGAAGTGTGTGTTTCCTTCTGGTTGATGTAAATACGTTGGTGTCTCTGTCCAATCAGAACCTTCCCCAGACACTGAGCGGAATTAAATAAAGACGATTTAACATGTTTTCCATGTAAACCTCAATTCAGATTTATTATTTCTATTTAAACTCGAAGGAGAAGAATTTAATTCTGAACTCGACCCCCCCCTTTAAAAAAACAAAAACTCTCCTGTTCTATGCAATTCACGTGAATGACCCAACTGATCAAGAAAAAGGTGATTGTAGCCAAAAGGCGACGAGTTTGCAGGTATGACTAGTCAAAAAAAAAAAAAAAAAAAAAAGAGAAAATCATCTCAGCAGAGCCATTTTACCTTCCAAATACAGTGTGTTTTCTGTCCAGGTACGTGCACGAACGGAAGGTGATGAAACTACGGGAGAAAAAAAACAATATTACGCAAGTGCACAGTTATCTAAAGTTACAGTGGAACACTGCATTCCACAATCTACAGTGAAGCACATTACTACTAAATATATTTTGCCTGTGCAACCAACCACTGGCAATATATAGAGAAGATTATCAGACTACATCACTTCGCATTCTACTGCGCATGTCTCCTGCAGAAAGAGCCTCTGTCCTGTCTGTATCACGTCAGTGTCTTGTAGGATTTCAGCAGATTTCAGGCTCTCCCGAGGGCGGGGACAGGTGTATCGATCAGGTATAAGTGGATGTCCGGCTACTGTTTGAGACATTTCTTCTCTTCATTTATGCGCTCACCTGCATTTAACGTATACGGGTCATAAAGACATAGCCACTCATTAATGTTCATTTAGCATCAGAACTTATTTTATCACACAGTGATAATCTATTTTAGTGCTGATAACAGCACAAGCTAGTGCTGCAACTTCATGTTAACCTCACAGACAGCAGCTCTTTCTGCACTCTATACTATAAATATGGCGTTATGCGGAAATAACATTGTGACTACTATATTAATGACTTACATTTAGAACTGTATATAATGGAATTTTATATCAAGATTGAGATTCAGTCATTTCTAATCGCCAGTTAACAGCTTAAAGGTCTTTTTCATGGAGAGGTCTACAGCCAATAAGAGCAGAGTTCAGACTTTAAAAGGACTTTTTTACTATTTTGTGTTAAATGGCAATGCCTCAAAATCTGTATTGTTATGGCTCAGACAAATGTTATTCAAAGCCATTTATTTGTTTTTCAAAAAACAAGTAGATGATCAAAATGTCACATCACCCAGCCATACTTACAACTGAGATTTATTGGTATTTGGTCCAGAGTTGGCCATACTTAAAATGCCACGACCAGCATGTGACATATTTGGTTTAAATTCATCTTTGAATGGTTTTCCCCAGCAGGACTCTCCTCCTGGAAACAGAATGAAGAGACGACCATTAGCCAACCCTTGATGACTTAATGTCTTAACTAGAGCATAGTCGTATTAGGACAGGATCACAGACTGTCATATTTTTTTTTCCACCACTCAATTTAAAAAAGTTAAATGTTACCCTGTTTTTAATTTACAAAAAATTTTAATTATTAGAACAATTATTAAAAAGCATGAAAAGTATCTCTAATCTAATCTATGAGCAATTATTGATAAACATTGTTTGTAGATGATTTAATTAATCGATTCCCATAACCTTTCTAATTACACATGTATGAATGTTTAATAATTTACTTTACATTACTCCTACTCCAGCTATCCATTTTGAAAAATTGGCAAAACATATTTCTCCTTTTGTTGCCGACGATGAACTCTTCACTTGTTAATGGGTACATAATTTTAAATAAAAAAAGTTAATGGTTACTAAATATTTACAAATCATTTGTAGGTATGCCTAATTAAAAAGTGTTACCAAAAACAGTTTCTGCCCTTGTGCATGTTTACAAAAACTGCACAAACATCATGTTAGCGACAGAGACACACCTGGATGCCTGAGGGATTACACAGACAATGAGGAAATATTTTCTTTGGCAATTAATGTACAATATTTTATTTCTTATTTATCAGTTATTTAAAGGTCCTATATTAAATTAAACTAAATTAGATTCTTGTGAGATTTTAAGCCACGTGAGAAGGCTACCTCCTCAAAAACATACCTGGAGTTCAGTTTTATTTACTTATTTTATTTATTTTATTCACACGTGTAGTTACACCTTTTCCCTTTCCTTCAGTAGCGATGGGCAATTCCAGAGCTGAAATGATCCAAAATGGAGCTGTATGAATTAAAGCCTGACCGATATGGATTTTGCTGTGGCGGATATGAAACCGATATAATGGGAGTTGGAGCTGCCGATAGCCGATATAATCGCCGATATATTTAGTGATGTAAAAATTCACTGTAAATGTTGAATTGTTTAAAAAACTTAGGTTTGGCTCTGGTGGATTTTAAATTGGGTTTATTTAGGCAACATTTATTGTTATTCTGCCTCTTTACATCATATTTACAGACAGTAGGTTGGCTTAATAGCATTTTTGCATCACATTCTAGACCAGGGGTGCTCACACTTTTTCAGCATGCGAGCTACTTACAAAATGACCAAGTCATAAAGATCTACCTAATACAAAGCCAAGCAAACTGCACTGAAACACTCTGTGGCCCTTTTTTGGACCCTCACCCACAGTTTGAGAACCCCTTCTTTAAGAGAACTTCCTCTGGCACTTTAAAAAACAGGTTTAAAAATCTTCCTTCACTTTTTTCACTGGAGTTGCATTCTTTTCTGGTTTTGCAGTGATATTTACCAGCCTCTGCACGTTTACCAAACCAAACGCACATCATGACAAACACAGATGCATTTGTGCACTTTTGTTAGACAAACTTCTGCTAAATGTGACAGTACGTCTGTTCTGTAGATCTGCTCTATGCTGTAGGCCTGCTTTGTGCCAACACTGTAACACAAATTTAGACTAGTTTTTGCTTCACCTTTTGTCTTGCTCTTCTAATCAGCATGCACTGTGGGAGGGGCTTGTGTTCGCTGTACGCAGGAAGGAGCGAGAGCGTGAAAAGGCGAGGGGCGGCGTGCTGATGTGAGGCAGATGGACAGGTAGGATGTTTAGGAAGTTTAACCTGCCCTGTGATGCACGGTGGTACACGAGGGCACACGCTGTTGCAGACGAGCCGTGCATAGGAAGCATGTGTGTTTGTGATGTGCCGTAGAGTCTCCGCGGGCTGCACTGAGACGCCCCACACGCTCCTGCATCCGGTACAAGTTTATTGCCCACAGCAGCGGCCGTAATGAAATATGATCGCACTTGTTGAGTGTCAGACCTTGAGTGAGAGACAAGACCGAGTCCAAATGCGAGTCCGAGACGAGACACAGCGATCTACCCACACGACCTTGGCGATCGACTGGTAGATCGCGATCGACGTATTGAGCACCCCTGTTCTAGACAGTAGTGATGGGTATTCCAGTTCTTTTTAGAGAACCGGCTCTTTTGGCTCGGCTCACTAAAAGCTGCTGGTTCTTTTGGCTCCCAAGCGGCTCTTCAGATTGTTTTGTTGCAAGCAGGTCTAAAGCACGTCTAAAGCAGGACTGAATCAGGACTGAACCAGGTCTAAACATGGAGAGAGAGAGAACCCTGAGCCCCGCGGAGCAGGTGTCCGAAAAGCGCGACGGCTACACATACCTCTTTTCCAAGCTCTGCACCGGTCCTTTCACCCGCGGACACTCGGGGCTACACGGAAGGACCTCCGAGCACATTTCGACAGTGAGTCCTGGTTCTGGTTTAGTCCTTGTTTAGTCCTGAGTCCTTGTAGAATTGGTGTCCGACATCGTAAATCACGTGCGCGTTGTTTACGTCGCTGTCTTGACTTTGGTTAAATTATTTTGAAAGGGCATCGGAAGTTTATTTCCTGTCTTTCCCCTGCTAAAAACCTTGGAGACGCGCCGTTGACGCTGCAAAATTAGAACTCCAACCTATCTCGAGCAGCGCGTCAGCGTCAGACGCTCGTTAGACGCGCGTATGACACTGTCGGTGTACACTGTCAGACCGGTTAAAATGGAGTTCTAAAGCAGCGCGTCTGCTGCTTGTGTGCTGTGCTGCTGCGCTTACGCGCCGTTGCGCTTTGGTGTGAATTGGGAGTCATTTCGTTCGCGACGGACCCATAACTAGTAAAGAAACTAGCGCTATAAGCCTTTAGCCATAAATACGTGCGCGCCGTGGTAATTAATTATATGCGCAAATGTCGTAATTCACACGTCTATTCGCAGCTCATTTCCATATCAATGCAGGTCCAGTAACAAATATATGGCCAATATAGTCACTTTACAATAGACCAATAGAAAACAGCCTGTTTATGTGCGAGAGCTACAGCAGCTAACCCACAACAAATGACCAAAACTAGCCTCAAAGTCGACATATTTCCAACACTCACCGCTCATACAGGCTTCTCCTCACATCACAAGTCTGCACTAATAAATGTCCTTTTAATTCAGACTCAAACCAATTGTCCGTAAAAAGAATATAATCTCAATTGTGTATAATTAATTCTGGGGGCATCCTGCGGTGGGCTGTGGGTGTGTGGGGGGTACTGGGGGGTGTTGGGTGTCAAACTAACAGCGGCTCTTTCTGCTGCACATGTGCAGTAGAGCGCAAAGTGACGTAGTCTGCAGTGTCGTTAGCCACTCCATGCAGGCAAATTTTGAACACACTGACAGGAGAAAAACAAGTATCAAGTGATAAAAATCAACAAGTGAAATAAAACTGCAATTACTTTGCTTTTAAAAAAATAATTTTCGTTGTATATCAGTAGAGGTGTAAACAATGACAGATACCTGAAAATGTATCTGCACACACACTCACACACACAGCCCTCACACACAGGCGCACACACACACGCGCACACACGCAGATGCACACACAAACTGACACACACTCCCAAACAAACACAGTGCACAAGAATACTACACCCATATCACCCATATTTTAACCTCATACATCTGTGTCTCTGGCCTTCAGTGTGGACTAATATGTACAAATGTCTTTCTACTGATATAACGTTGGAAAATGCACAGTAAAATGAAAACTATAAAAAAAGAAATTAAAAAGACAAAACAAAAATGAAAAAGACAAAACAAAAAAATGAAGGGTTTTCAACACAAAATAATGAAAAATTTATAAAAAAATAAAAATACACTGGCAAAGTTATGCCAGTAAAAAAATGCCATTTTGAATGAAAGTCAAAGGACCACGGGTGTGAGTATCTGATTATAGACCATTCAATTAATGTGATTTTGCAAACACAGAAATAAAAAATACACAGACTGGACAATTTTTATGCCGTTTGGTGCAATATAACCAAAGTTATGGAAAAAAGAAAAGTTGCAACATACAAAAATGTACCTTAGGGTGTAGGAGGGTTAAAAACAGTGAAGCACAGACTGTTTAACATGTGTGAATGAAACAAAACCAGGTGTGTTTGTGATAAGGAAACTACATTATAACATAGATCAGAAAATAGAGTAATATGGACCTGTTAAAAAATAATTGCATACTAAAGCATGCTGTGGCATTGCAATAATATTACATTGCAAGAGAATATTGTTTGTAGAACTGCTGCACTCATTCCCCCTTACCTGTCCCGGTGCCTGTAGGGTCCCCACCTTGGATCTGAAAACAAAGACACAATGTGATAATCATTAGCCAACTTTCATGAAATGCATCATGTTTCATGTTACACCGACTCATATAGTTTCAAATACGTGTCATATCTAATAGAAATGTATGGTGACACAAAAAGCAAAACTAAAAAAAAAATTACATACCATAAAATTGCGGATGGACCTGTGAAACACTGTGCCGTCGTAGTAACCTTTTTTGCAAAGTTTAATAAAGTTTTCTCCAGCTATGGGAATCTAAAAAAAAATAATAATAATAATTTAAATGGGAGGGTGTGGGGGACTGCCAACCAGCAATTTAGCAATCAGCAACTGAGCAGGATGGGGAAATGCTTGTAAAAGGTTATAGTCGGATAAAAAAAAAAAAAAAAAAAAGGTGAAGTGAGTATGTGCACCTTGTCGCAGTGAAGCTCAAGATTCAGGTCCCCTTTATTTGTGTGTAAACGGACATAGCCTTTTTTCTTCACATACTGGTACCGGCAAGTATCATCTGCAATGGCATCTGAAAGTGCAACATAAACAGCAAATTAATACATGAAAAAGAAAGACCAAGGACATTTTGCTCATTTGGAGCAAAATGAAATTCAAATTGGGCTTAAGCAGGTATAAAAAGGACATTGGAATCACTTCGCACTCACACAGTTATTAAAATTCAATGAATTAAGATCTCATCAAGATGTACTGAAGGCTTCATCGACCCAGGGGGGAGATTGAGCTAAGAGTGACTGGGATGAATATGAGCTCCTCCAAAACCTCTCCTGGTGCTGAAGCTTCTCTGCCTCAAGTGGAGGAGTTCAAGTATCTCAGGAAGGATAGAGCATGTGATTGACAGGCGGATCAATGCAGCGACTGCAATCATGTGGTAGCTATACTGGGCTCTTGTGGTGGTGAAGGAGCTGAGTCTAAAGGCAAAGTTCTGCATTTATTTCCTACCCTCACCTATGGTCATGAGCTTTGGGGAATGACCAAAACAACAAGATCACAGATATAAGCAGTTAAATGAGTTTCCTCTGCAGGGTGAGATTTTAGAGAAATAGGATGAGGAGCTCAGTCACAAGGGCCAAGAGGTGGCTCAAGCATCTGTTTCAGATATCTCAGGCCTGTCCCACAGGAAGGAGACCCCAGGGTAGACCCAGGACAAACTGGAGGAACTATAAAATGTATAGCCCTTCAGATTAACCTTAGGATACTCACCGGCTTCATGTACAGTGGCAGGAGCCATGGCTGTGGATGTGAAAGATGCAGATACTCTGCCTGTGGAGTAGTGAGCCTGGAACAAGAAAACAGAGGTCACATTTGCTTATCTAGCAACATATTCCAGAACTACTGTGCACTAAATTACTTGGAGCTATACTGTATATAAAACTTGATTAAAGGCAGGTATGCTTTTAGAATTAGGACCCAGGCTAGGGGTCACCATGACTAAAATTTAGAATATTTCTCAAGCATGAGAATGGTCCATGGGGGCGAGTGGCACTAGTTTTGTTGAGTGGAGTGGATTTTAATATGCACTTCTGCAATGGATACATGTATGCGAACTGCTCCACTCATACAGAACAAATATCAGAAATTTAAAAAAAGATAATTCTCTCACAGCGTTGAACTTGTCTGTTTTCTTGGCAGCTGGTTCCTTCATTGTGGATGCTAGCAGCTCATCTCCTTTATATTCTTTATAAAGCTCAGCTAGGGTCTCTCTGGTCTCCAAGTTGGTGCTTTTCAGGTGATATGCTGGATCCTGCTTTGCCTTTTCTTCATCTACAAATGAAACAAATGAAAACGATGACCAAATGCATTTCCCATGAAAAATATGGTGTCATCTATAACAGCAGATTTTGTACCATGTAAAAATATGTTAGGCTTGTACAAAATATGTTGATGGGCCGTGCTCGTGTTAACGTGGTACAGTTGTGGGGAACTTTAGTTTGAAAAGGCAAAAATTCTGAGCTGGCCAATCGCCTCACATAAGCCTACTCCTATGTAAGCACCAGAGGCAAAACAAGGCACAGCAAGTTAAATAAGTTTACCTGGATCCAAGACCTTCAAATTGTTTTTTACATGGAAGAAGTCAGATACATTGAACTTGTGCAAATTTGTAGGATCCTGTAATTACAAAAAAAAAAAATTATAAATTAAAAAAAAAATCTATACATTCAAAATAAAAATTGGACAATTTTGTATTTTTTTTTACCTGAAGTACAATAATGTCTTGTCTGGTAAAAGGTTCATCTGTCAGCAGGTCTTTAAAACTCTTTGTTTTGATATTAAGCTGTTCCACTGCCTGAAGTTTTAACACAGAATTTAACCAAAACCACTGAAGATGAGCATTAATTACTTGACAATTTATACTTTGCAGCTGATGTCATCAACATTCCCTACACGTGTGATGCTAACTGTAGGTGCTCTTAAACTTTAATCAGAGCTTTATTTTTAACACAATCTGACCATAAAGAACAAATTTACCTGATCTGTGCTGTTAAACAAGTCTCTGACACATAAAATTACAATGACAAGCGAGCTAGCATTGGCCAACAGTTTTTAATTTAGTGTGTATCTATTGAGTTTTATTGTTAGTATGGGACTGGTGCTACAAACTTGCCATATTAAAGTCCTTTCAACTGACAACGATCACATCTTTGGTACTGAATAATGGCACTACTCTCTGAAACTACATAAACATTTAATAGCGTCAAAATTCTGTTTTTTTTCTGTAATGCAGAGAGTTCTTGGGTTTAGTCACCAATGCAATTTATCATGCTAGCGAGCTGCAGAATTTAGTTTCGTTTGTACCAAAATGACTACACAACACTGGTGAATTCACATATATCACACATCAAGACAATAAAATTGGAGATCGAAGTAAGTACGTCACAGTGGGCATATATCAGGGACAGTGAAAACGGGAGATGATCTGCAATATGGTGTCGTGAAAAATAAGCAATTAAAGATTGCTCAAACATACACGACTCACTCTAAATAAGTTCAAGAGTAAATGGTACCTGGGTACAACTGTAACATGGATAACATTTAGCTCTGCTTAAATATTTCTTATGGAAGTACATTGTAATTAATAGCTCCTGTCCTCCATCTGGGAATATGACATTACATTTTAGAATCTGAAAGCCACTTGTGAAAACCTGAAAACCATTTTTGTAGAAGTTAACCAACCTCATAAGAGAAGACATTGCCCGTGACCTTGATTGTAACAATGTGGGAATTATTAGTGAAGATGTTGTACATAACAGGACAGTGGTACTTTCCTAGGAACAAGCAAACAGCAAACACCACATTATGTTTATATTTCACAAATATGGTTTTAATAGATTAAACTCACCATCATTGTTCTTGGTGAAGTTCAGCTTGATAAGGGAATTTGCTTCGAGTTTCTGAGGAAAAAAAATTATTTACATCAACTGTTTTGGTTCCTTTTGTGATATAACACACGTTAACAGTACAGTAGTTTTTTTTTCCATTTTATTTAAATTTGATTTTACAATTACTGTACAAATACAACAACAAATCATAAATAAAACAATTACATTTAATACTCACAAAACAAAATGAATCAATATATTATTCTCTACCACCTCCCCATCCCTCCTTCCCTCTCACACCACCACCAGTTGGTGTGTGATTATTATTTTTCTCCCCTTAACACAGTTTTTATTATTATTATTTTTATTTTATTGTAAACATCTGTTGCTTATTTTGAAAGTCCATCGCAAACAAGCCTAGAATTGCTTACTGCTGCGGCGCTCACAGTAAACAGAGAAAGACAGCACGATAAACAAACATTTAGAAGGGTAAGGAACTTTTACATGGCATTTTCATTTTAAAGTTTTTCTAGACGGCGCAGCTGACAGAGCCAAAGTCATTTTTAACCACTACAACGATGAATTGTCTTATCACAGAAGTTTCATGAATCTGAAATACCACCTAAATGCAACACACTCGGTTGATGCCGGCAAATCATTCAATCAAGCGCAATCAGAAACAGCAACCTGGTCCCCCATGAGGCATCGGTGTGGGCAATTCATCACCATGGATGCCGAAATTGCCTGTCCTTTATAATGGCGTGACCTTTCAATTGACCCATGTGACCTCAAATGACCTCCGATCGTCAAAATTTTTTCGGGGCATCAGGCACAGGGGCTTGACCCACGTACCAAATTTGGGGACAATTGGTCCATAAATGGCGGCATTATCGCGGGTGGACAGACACACAGAGACACAGGGTGAATACAAAACCTGGTCAACCCTTCGGGGACCAGGTAACAAGTGGAGCGAGGCTCCAGCAGACCCACGTGAGATGCAACGTATTACAGCCGTTGCTCTGCACACGCATCTATTTATTTATTTGATTGGGACAGAGCATGTTAATGAACAAGCATGACACAACATGAATGTAAACACACCGGATTGTAGCCTAAGGCTAATTTCCATCCATTGTCCCAAGGGGCTGGGGTCACAGGGAGCCAAACAAAATATACACTCCATTCATTGCACAGTTCCCAGTATGCACACTCCAGTCATTACACAGTTTCCATTATTGCACACTTTACTCATTGCACAGTTCCCATCATTGCACATCACGCATCATGCCAAACTGCCAAACAAAGGCTCCAAGCCTTGGCTAGCCGCCTAAAGAGGTATGAGATAATGAAGCCAGATGGATAAACCACCTGTTTCTGCAAAGCAGACCAACCAAGGCTGGAGACTGAAAGGTACTGGAAATGTATATGGGAGAGGGATATGGAGTAAGAAAGCTTTCAAAAATATTCATGTCCATAGAATAGAAAGCCGTACGTGTTTGGGAAAGTTGCACATAAAATATTCGTATACTCTCGAATGAGTCCAGTCGTACATAAAATATATTGTGTGTATTTTATCCATTAGAATATGAAAAAGTTACGACGCCAAGAATTACAGTCACGAAATGAAAATTTACGATTACGCTTTCATCAGTAAAAATGCAAATTCACAGATGCAAATTTACTGTCAAAAATACGTGATTACTTCACAGGCATTATTTATCAAGCACAAGAAATATCGATCAAGATCAAGACTGTGCATGCTTAAGTTGTAGCAGAGGGTAAAAATGGAGTAATGGCACAACAAGGGGCTACAACAGCTGACTCAATCCACAGACACAGGTCACTGAAGTAGGCTGACCAAAAGTTCCTCAGAACGCTGAAATGTCCCAGTTTACACCAAACACTACCAAACTGTCCTTAATTTTTTTTTTGAGAATCAAGATATGTACTGTTAAAAGAAATCACCAAATGTTGAAAATTTGAAATAGGTTATGTGTGAGGGTCCTGTTAAAAACAAGAAAACGTAACATGGTCCGATTTTCACATGTAATTTATGGCATGTGGGTAATGACCAAAAAAAATTGAATATTTTTTTTTGTAAGACCAGAAAAAGACCTTTCATATGGTACCAAACATTTATTTTATGAAGCTCCTTAAATTTTTAATTGTATCTTGAACATTCACATTTGACACAATGACACAAGTATGCAGTGACCATGTGATATGTTTTATTCCAGCAGCTAAGGTCACTAAACATTTAAAGACTGAATCAAATGGTTTGATAATAATTTTGATGTGACAAGGTATCTGACAAGGCATCTGTGACAAGTTATCTGACATCCAAGAAAACAGCTGTAGATTATTCTCATATTAAAGAAACAATCAAGTCATGTTCAACAATATGATATTGTCTTCCATTAGTTGTGGACGGCACATTGATGTTCAAGACTATGCAAACGTAAAATAGATTTAGATGCGCAAGGAACTCAAACGGAAGCAGCCGAGAAGTGAGGAAACCGTTCCTTATCATGTTCGGATTGCCTGAGCAGGTAAAGAAAGTCTTATGGAGCCTTAAACAGAAAGTGCTAAGGTTGTCATTGTGAGATTGCAGGATTTGTGGGAATTTATCACATATTAAAAATGTATATATTCATCTTTATTCCGGGGTGGACCTATATAGTTCCAAATGCACATTTGTTTTGAAGTTTGTTTTGTTTGTTTCTTCATATTTTAAGAGAGCCAGTACATGTTTGGATCACCATAAGACCAAGAGCCTACTACCAAGAAATTAATGAAATGCATAGATGATGAAGCGCCTGATTCAAGTTATGAGGCCACACTGCAGTCAACATGGTCAATTCAACCATCTAAAACCAGTCCACCAGGGATGAAAAATGAATCAAAATGAATCAGCTGCTAAAGGATGGGACTCACCCTGAATGGCTAACCCAAGGGCGTACGATCCTGATCCTGAAGGATCCCTCAAAGAGTACAGTCCCATTCAACTATCGGCCAATAACCTGTCTCTTCACCACATGGAAGCATCATCATTGTGTCTTAGATAAGCCAGCACATGTATAAGTCCATGAACACAGTACAGAAGGGCATCAGCAAAAACACCAGGGGAGCCAAACATCAACTCCTGGTTGACCGAACAGTCCCTGAAGAACCCGTCACGAATCTGCCTGGACTGATTACAAAAAAGCCTATGACTCAATGCCACACAACTGAGTGCTTGGAGTTGTACAATATAAACAGGACTCTCACTGCAAACTCAATGTGGTTGTGGAAAACCACCCTTGAAGCCAATGGGAAGCCACCTGCACAAATGTCCATCAAATGTGGCATTTACCAAGGAGTGGCACTGTCCCCACTGCTGTTCTGCATAGGTCTGAACCCCCTCAGCCAAATCATCGACTGCACTGGCTACAGATACCGACTCAGAAATGGGGCCACCCTCAGTCACCTCCTCTACATGGATGACATTAAGCTGTACACGACACACTGATCCACACCACCACCAGTCTACAGCACAGACATTGGAATGTTATTCAGGCTTGAGAAATGTAGTAGGATGGTGACAAAGAGAGGGAAGGTAGTTCACACAGAGGGGGTCTCACTCCCAGAGGGAACAATAGCAGACACTGAGGACAGTTACAAGTACCTTGGTATCCCACAAGCAAATGGCAACCTCGAAGAGGCAACAAGGAAAGCGGCTACAGCCAAATACCTGCAACGAGTGAGACAAGTCCTAAGAAGCCAGCTCAATGGCAAAAACAAGGCATAGGCAATAAACAGCAAGAATCATAAGATGGCCAGAGGAGAAGATACAGACCACAGATGTTAAGACACGAAAGCTCCTGACCATACATGGAGGGTTCCATCACAAATCCAGCACCCTGATGCAAGCCGGGAGGAAGGAGACAGAGGACTAGTGAGTGTCCGAGAGATGACAGTACTCAGAGAATGTCTCAAACAGTGGAGTTCAGAGGGAGAGGTGCTGGAGGGACCATCATGGCAGGACAAGACCCTACATGGGTCGTACCACTGTAACAGAACTGAAGTGGCTGATATCAAAAAATCCTACCAATGGCTTGAGAGGGCTGGTCTGAAGGACAGCACAGAGGTACTCATCCTGTATGCACAGGAGCAGGCCCTGAGCACCGGAGCAATAGAAGCCCAGATCTACCACACCAGACAAGACCCAAGCTTGCAAAGAGGCTCCTGAGACAGTCCAGCACATAACTGCAGGGTGTAAGATGCTGGCAGGGAAAGCATACATTGAGCGACATAACCAAGTAGCGGGCATAGTGTACAGAAACATCTGTGCAGAGTACGAGCTGGAGACCCCAGGATCAAGGTGGGAAACACCTCCAAAGGTTGTGGAGAATGACTGAGCCAAGATCCTGTGGGACTTCCAGAAACAGAATGACAGGATAGTGATGGCGAACCAATCAGACAGTGGTGGTGGATAAGAAACAGAACAAAGCCATGGTGGTGGACATCGCAATACCAAGCGATGGCAATATCAGGAAGAAGGAACACGAGAAACTAGAGAAATACCAGGGGCTCAAGGAAGAGCTGGAAGGTGAAGGCATCAGTGGTGCCCGTGGTGATCACAGCACTCGGGGCTGTAACAACCAAACTAGAGGAGTGGCTACAACAGATACCAGGAAAAACAGACATCTGGGTAGAGAAAATTACCATATTAGGAACAAAGATACTGCGCAGAACTCTCAAGATTACAGGTCTCTGGTAGAGGACCCTAGCTGGATGAGAGGGAGAAAGACCAACCACTGTGGAAGGTAAAGAGCGCATTTATTTTTAATATTATATATCCACAGCCACCCTGAGGCAGACTGATGGAAGTGAGGCTGCCAATCTGCACAACTTAACAAATTAGTCACTTAACTTAACACCAGTTTGATGTAAATACTGCATTTATCTGCAAATTAATTTGCTTAGAAAAACTACTTTTTCGATGAGGCCTGACATCTTGTTTGTATTTTGCAATTGAGTTGAAAATATTTCTAATTTGGAAATATGTCAAAAAATATTGTTTGGTCATTTAAATTTGTCTTGTATCTGACTAAATGACTGAATGATATTACCTTCATATAAACCATGAATAGTGCTAATGTCATGATTCTCCTATTACTTAAAAGCAGCATCCATGCAAGAGGAAGTCAGGATTATCAACTATAGAAGAGTTATTTTAATAGATCCATGTATAGGAGCTATAAGCATATTTTAGACTAATTGAAAAATCCTTATTAATCACTGTTTATCATAGTATTTAAAGTACTGCTAAATATGGAACTTTTATGATGAAGTGCCACCTGCTTCTGTCCACGGAGATGATAGTGTTTTTGATACATGATACGGAATTTGGCATGAGTTAGTAAAATTATAAAATCAGTTTCTGAAATATACTGCATAATATGCAACAGCAACACTTAAACAAAATCAATTAGGCAATGTCTGTTTACATGCTATACTACTTCAACCACTGAGAACCCTGTCCTATGAAAATTGATTCAATGGGCCAAGATCAGTTCACCTTGTTGAGGGCACACTGTCCATTGTGAGCTTACGCATTTCCTCCCCTCTTCCTTCTACCACCATTACTCTTTTAAAGCTTTTAGCTAAAGGAAAATATTAGATATATAGTAGGGCTTTAACTATTTTATTGCTATAAAAAAACAAAAACAAAAAAAAACTTGAAAACATACAACAGATCCACAGATCTGATATGTAACTTGGCCTGGTTGCACCATAACTTATCGCTAAAGCAAGTCTGACCAATTTTTATTGATTGATAATTCATATTACTTCGATCACAGGTATATTCTGTCATTATTCCACAGTCATATTTAACCAATTGAAAAGGTGTAGGCTGAAGCTTGAGCTTATTATAAATTCCCTTGTGACTGACTCTCCATCACAAGGAGTTACATAATGAACCAAAAGCAATTTATTATCCTATTGGTTTGTTAGTCTGTCAATATACAATTGTAAAAAACGTGATGTTTCTTCTCACAATAATTGTAACATTAAAATTTGATATTAGTCAAAAGTCGAATGTCGGGACATTTATGCTTACCTCCCCTGTGATTGGATTTGTACCATACTTTTTTATCCAAGGTACAATGCTCCTGAAAGAAAAAAAAAAGTTACCATGTCAGAGTCAGTTCTCAATCATTCAGATTAAATGCAGTAACAAAGTTTTGAGAAAGCTAGTCCCTAGACTTTTGGCTACAGAGACTAAAATAATATTTTCATTTATTTAAACAAACATTTCTGTCTGTCATTTTTCCGACTAGACCTGTCACAATAATAAATTTAGTTGATATGTTAATCTAGTAATTCTGTCATTCAAACTTGAATTCAATACTGAGGAATGTCTCCAAAAATGAGAATACCATGAAAAAATTCAGAAAGTCAAATCCGTATATTACACTGTGTGCACAATTATTAGGCAAATTGTATTTATGACGATTATTTTTTAATTGAACAACTACAGTGGTTTCAGTCAATCCAAAATGTTAATAAACCTCAAACCTGAATCTTTAAGAAAGTAAAAGTGACATTTTGGCTTTCTTAGGAGAATTTTCTCCGATCTATGTGTGCACAATTATTGGGCAACTATTAATGTGTAGAACTATTATGTGATTACATGTAAATCGAACATTTTCCATTATTTTCATCTGTCTGACTAGTAAACAACTCAAAATTTCTTAAGTTCTAAAATTTTATTTCTATTTTTAACATTTCTGTCAAAATAAATACATAAATAAATACAAATCAGTGACCAATATAGCCACCCTTCTCAATAATGGTCATAAGCCTTCCATTCATGGAGTTTCTTCTGTTCTGATCTGTTGACAATCCACTTTTTGTGCAGCAGCAACAGCCTCCCAGACTGCTCAGAGAGGTGTACCGTTTTCCTTCACCGTAAATCTCCCGTTTAAAGAAGGACCCACAAGTTCTCATTAGGGTTTAGATCAGGTGAGGAAGGGGGCCATGTCATTATTTTTTTCATCTTTAATGCCATTACTGGCTAGCCACGGAGCAGAGTATTTTAATGCATGCGAATGCATGAAAAATTATGGTCCTCTTGAAAGTGCAGACTTTTTCCTGAACCGCTGCTTGAAGAAAGTGTCTTTTAAAAACTGGTGGTAAGTTTTCTAGTTCAAAAAGTAAAAAGTAAGAAATCAGGAAGGGGGCAAATACTTTTTCACAGCATTGTACAGCATTTCTGTGTCAGTGCAACACTATATCCGGGGAAGATGTAAAACCTTACTCCTTCGTACTCCAGTTCACCTTTTGCACGGGCAGTCCAGAGAATCTTTACCTTGTCCTGAAAGTGGAGAAACTACAGCAGAATTGGCCTCAGACCAGCCTTGGTATGCAGTGCGGTGGGCCAACTCAATCACCGAGCAGAGCATGAAAAAGGTTGATAGGCCCTATGCCACAGCGCATTCATGCAGTAATTCATGCCAAAGTAGGCTCAACCATGTCCTGAGTGCATAGAAATGAATAGACTTTTCAGAAGTCTGATATTTCTGTTTAAAATATTTTTTTTAGTGGGCTTATGTAATTTTCTAATTTTCTGAGACACTGAATTGTAGGTTTTCATTAACTGCAAGTCATAATAATGATAATAAAATACAGATTTGACATTCAGAAAAAAAAGAAACATTATTCTGCCTCCACTAGTGTTTAGGAACTAGCTTTACAGATAGCGAACAGTTTCTCTAATAAACACCCAGGAAGCTTCTTGCTGTTTTGGGCATTTACTGAGTTGCTTGTAAAACTGTAACATACAAAAAATAAATGCATATTACAATTATGTACTCACATTTAAATGAACAAAGAATAAGTAGAGCTACATAAAACAATGTATAGCTGCTTAATAATTCAGTATATATGCATAACAATAACAATAGCATTAGTTCGACTTCATAAAAGCGTGTGTAAAACAAGCCATTAGCATCATGCTAACATAAATGGAAATTTACATATGCATGCTAACGCTATTAGCGTCCTATATTTTAGAGGGATTTTCAAACCATAAAACACCCTAAAGTGCCCCACAGAGTCAGCAAACAGGTTATAACATTACAGTACTTACAGACAGATATTTTTCATGGGGCCAAAAGACAGTTTACTAGAATTAAACACTTGCAAGAACAGTTGAAATGTCCAGAACAACATGGCGGCTAAGGTAGCTCAGAGTGGACAAAACAGACAAACTCAAAACAGAAACATTCTCCACTGGGGGCAGAAAAAAACATCAATTGAACTTTTTCATGATATTCAAATTTTTTGAGGTGTACCTGTAGAACAACTACTCCAGATACATATTCTAGTACCATGATGATAGTAAATCTTCTTTAGACAATAAAATGCGATTTTCAACAATAAAACTTATTAAAATTCCTTTTTAATAATAATTTATATTATATGTTGTCTTATATCTGTGTAATTCTCAGTGACATGGATCACAATTATTAAGACTGATTTACTTCACTTACAGTAGGTCAAAGACATGGCCCTCTTTGGTGCAGACTGGGTATTCAAACGGTTGAAGCGATAAGCTACAAAAACATTTCAAAAGGTACATTACAGATACAAATACAAAGCTTTAGCACTCTTTACACTTCCAGCCTACCTGCAGTGATCAAAGGGAAGACGTCTGAAGTTAGCTTGGGGGATAACTAGAAAAGAAGATGGAAAATAAGAAACAATATGTTTATAGATAAAATTAAAAAAACAAGACATGGCCTCCTGGAAATACAGATCAGAAATGATCAATGACAAAAGCTGTGATAATAGTTCAGGACTTCAACACTTTTTTTATTTTATTTTTTTAAATAATAGACCCCTGCCCCAATCAGAGAAAAAAGTGACTGGACTCCTCTGTTGTGGAAAAAGTTACATCTTTCTGATGATAAATAATAATCCATTTGCGAAGCCTGGTGAGTTTGAGAATTCTTTGTTACAGCAGATACAACAGGGCCTAGGCCAGCCCTTGGTGCAAGACTACCCAAGCCTCTTCCCCAATTTCTCCCCAGAGCATCTGAGCTCTGAGTACTTATACTAGAATTATAGAGCAGTAGGTAAAACACCACAGAGTTTCCTGTGGGACAGGGACAGTGCCTGCTGTGCCTTCTCATCTGGGTCTTGGAAACTGACCCAGATCAAATGCATTTATACAAAAGATGAGAATATTTTCTTCACACATTGCACATACATTTTCATCACACCTCTAAACACTAACTTAACACAAAAAAATAAAAAATAAAAATCACATACATTATTGAAAGCTAAAATAAGTTCAGTTTTTCTGCAGCTCTGGTGCAAGTTAAAAATATATATTTTTAATGAACATTATTCTTTCAATCGTTATTCAGTCTTAATTAAGGATGAAGACTTAAGAAATTATAATGATGAGAGTTTTAAGAAATGGAAATGGATGAGGCTTTTATTTGCCATAGATACCGCAAATATTGCCTAATTTCCACTGGCGCAGTGGGAAGCGTTTCCATTACACAGGTCTATCAAAGCACACAGGTCTATCAAAGCACACAGGTCTATCAAAGCACACAGGTCTATCAAAGCACACAGGTCTATCAAAGCACACAGTTGCCATGAGCCGTTGGACCATGTGAACAATCATCTTGTTGTAATATTTCATACTTCATGCTTTCTACAGTCAAAGTACAAAATATTCTGCTCTGTGACCTTGGACCATGCTTGCTATTCCGTACCATACAAGCTGCGGAAACTCCAGATATTCCCAGTGTAAAGCTATCAGCTAAAGGTAACATTTCTGCTAAGATTATAAATGTACAATACTGCACTTCTGGTCAGACTGCTGGGTCAGTCCATATGAAATCAGCCGCTTTCAAGGAATCTCCTCTATGACCCATCTCAGATTTGGCTGAAAAAAAATTTCTAAAGATTTCTAAAATCACCAAATGAAAGAATCTCAAATTTTAGCTCAATCCCTTCAGTCATTCCGGAGTTATATCATGGTGACATTTTGGGGCCATGCCCATTTTTCCGTAAGCCTTAATTTATAAGCATTTTTGAGAGACCGTAACCGTAAGGTAGGAAGCTGAAAATTTGTATTCTATTATTTCCACAAATAATCTCCAATTGTCTTACAATATGCCTTGTAATAAGCAATTAGTGTGTAAGGCAATTAAAGGTAAGTGACCCTTGCTAGTAGGTGGAAAAGTAACTAAACTCCACCAAAAATGACCTGTGAGAGCTCATTTTCAAAAATTCCATTTGAAATTAAGGAAGTTAATAGATGTTTTTATTACTTCAAACTAATCACAATATGCCAAGGTTTCTCTGGTAAAAATTTATCAACATCTAACTGTGCCCACATGGGGAACTGAGGGTCCAAAGAAGGGGCCAATAAGGTCAAATTTGACCTGTGACCATATTTGGGACTCTACACCATCCACATGAAAGCTCAGAAAAGTGTGAGATTGCTGTCAGGAATGTCATTCTCTCAAATATTCAGGTTCAACAGTTAATATCTGTAAATATCTGCTTGGAGTAAATAAATCTTAGATGTCAAAAATTGGAAGGGGGGGTACTATGATATTTGACAGCAGATTTAGAATCTACAATACAAATTTTCAGATTCCTAGCTCTATTTTTTATGAAGTTATGGTCTCTCAAAAATGCTTGTAAATAAATGCTTCCAAAAAAAAGTGAGCATGGCCCCAAAATTTCAACGGGCCATAACTCAGGAACAACTGAAGGGATTGAGCTAAAATTTGAGATTCTTTCATTTGGTAATTTTAGAATTTAGAATAGAAGCCAAATTTGAGATGGCTCATAGAGGAGGATGGCTGATTTCATATGGACTGACCTTCCTACTCTCTGAAACCCTCTTGTAGATGAATACAGACTGATCATTTTTGTCTGTGTCACCCTGATGCTGTGAATCCATGCTGTAACATCATTAAAAGGTACTGTAGAACAGTCTCGATAGCTGTTGTTGTTGCTCTTGTTCTGTTCTATCAAAAGACTGCAGCATCAACACTTACCATTATTCAGAATATAACTCAAAACAAATGCACATGCAAAGCTGCACAGGTGATCCACATGCGCTTAAATTTCACTTGTTTTCTCGTATACAGCTCTTTATAATAGTAAAAGGCAAGCTACAGAGAAGATGCTCTTCATTTTGATAAATAACTACTCTTTAACTATGCGGTTACCTGGATAGAGAAGGAGGATTGTGGAGAATTTTACACAGACAAGTTTGGCTTCATCTTTATGCACATGCGCTCCAGACTGGATATATATTACACCACATTTATTTGGGAATTACGCTTGGGAGGATGTTGGCAGACTTTGGTTCATGTTATCTGTTTGTCTTTATCTTTATGCGGACACTGCTGTGATGGAACTGAACTGAGGATTTAACAAGCCTGGATTTCCCAAATAAACCTGGCTTTCACTTCAGGTCACTTTACTCCCCATGTTAGATATGAGTGTTATTTTGACACATGTAACACTAAACCTTAAAACGTGAGTGCTGTTTGTATCATTCGTTGGCGAGGAGCACAGTTGTGACCAGTGAGCTCCTGTGCTTTGTTAATGGTAGTTACGAGGTTTCCATGAATTATGTTTTGTAAGCGTAGGTTGCTACGGTGTGCTGCTGGTTCTCCAATGACTGCATGGAGATGTGCCCTGCTCACCGTGAGCCGAAACCAGGTCCTAACCATGTTAGACCCATTTGGAAGGTAATACCTCCAGTGATCCGCTTGGAACCCCGAAGAGGGGGCAAGTATGGATCGTTTTATGCAATGGAAACACTCAAGGTCCGCAGTGTACTGCCCCATACCAGCCCGAGGGAAACCAGGCTTATGTACGTGTTGGAATTTGGATATTCACTCACCTGTTCGCTTCCCTCCGTAGAAGTGTGTATATTCTGTACATGTGATGTACCTGTAAAAAGTAGAAAAGACACCATTAGACCATGAATACAGCCAAGGTCAAAATTATATTAAGAACTAAACCAGTTTATTTTAGAATACTCGTTCCTAACAACATGCATAACATCACAAGTAACATCAGCAATTGACACAAATTACTAAACTTTGTTTTTCCATTTTGAGTGGTTTTATTCCACTGACTTAAATACTGTTATTATTTTTTATTAAGATTAGAATTATTTTTAAAGTGCATTTTAAAGGCCATAAACATGGCCTAACTGTGTATCCCAGATATAGGGTAAACATGTTCAAATCAAATATAACTTTTACTAGTAACAATTGTAATGCTGATTTATTCTTGGTTACAAAAACATTAGACATGATGGCCAAGTTGCTTTTTTTTTTTTTAGTGTTTGGGTTCTCAAGATGATTTATCCAATCAGAAAGCATAATGAGCATCGCAGGAGTCTCTTTGGGTTACTAGTTTCAATACTGAAATCCAGTTTGTTTAAACCTAAAAGGCCTCTACTTACTACTTAAAACACAGCACTATCATGAATCAGAGCTAATGCAGCCTCTACAGCTCAATAAGTTAATTCTCAAAGTTCTGAGCTTTCACATGAGGGATGGCCTGTCCATATACTGAGAATGAGAAAAACTTGTATGTGTCCTCTATCTGCAGGTTAAGACTATGGCAACTCAGGTTCACTTGTAATTGCAGTACCTTTTTTAAACATCATGAGTGCAGAGTGCAGAATATACACAGTTCCTTCAAGAAAGGCCCAACTATTTTATGTTATATAGTACATTGTTGACCATGGTACCATTGTATTCATGCTAGTAGAACATGGACTTAAATGCAAAATTACTGTATTATGCTTTGGAATATACAAATGATCTGCATTAGTCAAAGGTACTAAATAATAAAGCACAGCTAAATTCAGCATAACGGTAGCTGAGTGGCAAGAGTGTTGCTGATCTTGGTTTAACATGCACATAATTAGGTTAAATCTAGACGAAAAGACGACAGAGATGTGTACACCTTGCTTCTGCTATCTGTTTATATTAAATTATATATATATATATATATATATATATATATATATATATATATATATATATTATTTTTTTACTATATTATTTTTAGCTGCTCTTTTACTATAAAAGTAGTTATTATCATTATTTTTAAATTGGCCCACTAATTATTTTATTAAGTTTATAAGGATTTATATCGAGTACAGCAGAAAGAAGTGAGGAGTGAGTGATCTGGAGGTTTGGGACTGACTGCTGCATTTTCACTTTTTATTAGGATACAATACTAGGCGCAGGTACAGAGGCAGCTAAACTTTGAACTAACTGTTCAAATTCAGACTTGTTTTTGTGATAGAGTGAGTCAAAATAATCAGGTTCAACAATGGAACTATTATACTGAAATAACATTTTAACATTGTTGTTAGCCAGACAGGCTAACTCTCAAACTAACTGGAAGCGCTAGTTGTGTGTGGCTTTTTCTTACATTTTATCCTTCTGATGCTGACGCTTCCCCATCGTGCGTGTCGGTGAAAGGAAACGAATCCGATATCTGCAATGGAACACTAATCAACACCTTTAAATTCTTGAAAACCCGGAGCTAAACGGCAGCAGTACAAAGAGCTGTACACGCACCACGACACGCACAGGGCTGATGATGCGTGCGTCGCTTTTCTGCTTCCGGGTTTATTTACGTAGTGATGCTGCCTTCACGTGATCTCGGAAACTCGGAAGACCCGACGTCCTCGTCCGACCCATGGATCTATAATAAAAACCTGAATTGTGAATTGTATTATAGTTCTGTGGTCCGACCACGAATCTAGGGCTCCATCAAATTTCCCCCCCCCCCCTTTGGGAATTACATATATATGTATATACATACATACATTTAGAGCATCGCGAGCTTCATTTGAGTGGCCCTGAACGCTGTGGATGACGTCACACTCGCTTAGTTTATTTATTTATTTATTTTTTATTTTTTATTACACAGCTGGGTGCATAAACTTGATATAACAAACATGTCGGGATGAGAGAACATAAACACAACATTTTATACAGTAACAATACAATACAATACAATGGTAAAAGAGAGAAGATAAGAGAAAAAGATAATAGCAAGGGTATTAGAGTTCATTCAGCCTGAGTCCATAAAGACCAGGTGAATTTCACACATGTAGGAATATGCTTTTTGATCTTTAGGTCCATTCATATATTTCAGAGAGTTTATATATAATTTGAGTTCATTTTTAAAACAAGCAAAGTTAGGGGGACACTTCTGAATTCTACATTTGTGAATGTAAAATTTGGCAATACATAACAGGTTTACACAGAGTTCTTCTTTTTTTTTTTTTTTTTGAAATTGTACACTGAAAATGATAACATCTCTATTTACCAAGACTGGTAAGGAAGGAAATTTGGACTATATCCAGTGTTGCATTTCAGACCAAAAGGGCTGAATTGTAGCACAAAAGAAAAAAAAGATGATCAGTGCTCTCAATCTTCTTTTCACAAAAAGTGCAAATGTTTTCTTGAATATTAAAGTGCAACTGAAGTAATTCTTTGGATGGATATATGTTATTCATAATTTTGTAATCCTTTTCCTTTACTTTAGGAGTGACAGGAAAGGTCAAGTACATTGTTCTCAGTTTTGTTTAGTTTTATCACTTCTTTATCAAATTTATAATGTACATCATTTTTATTTTGAAAACCAGGGAAAATTTTTTCTGTTAGACATTTTCTAATGAAATAATTATTGCATTTTCTGTCTGTTATTGACAGTCCTTGTACTGATGAGGCAGGTATATGTGGGTGTATAGTTTGGTTTGCCAAAAAGTTCCTTGAGAGTCATATTCAACATATTCTTTAGGGAGTGCATTGCATAAACGTATGAAGTCCAAATATGAAGGATTAAACTCATGTTTTTCACAGAATTTATTGTAATTTAGTAAATTTCCACTTTCATCTATTAAGTTTGCTATAGACCAAATATTTCTTTCAAACCAGTCTTTGTAAAACAGAGATTTGTTACGGTGCAAAATATATTGGTTATTCATATTACTGTGGAGAGTGGAGTTATAGTTATATGAACATATAACATTTTCCAGTACAATCAAATTTTCTTATCGAAGTTACAAACAAGTAGAAGTCCGCAATTTGTAAAAAATAAAGTTAGGTATACAGTACCATAAGGAATTATGGTGTTTAATCCAAGATTTTAATTTTACATCTGCTCAGTGACTGATAACAATTTCATTGCCCAGAAAATACATTTTTGGATATCATTACAGTTTTTAATATAGATGGCTAATAATTCTGCATCCAAGATGAAGAGATATGGCAAAATTGGGCAGCCCTGAGGAATGCCAACCTCTACGCTGAAGCTCTGAGTAGAGCCCTTTGATAGAAGAACACAGCTGTTTATGTTTTTGTATAATCCACCAATTAAATTTCAAAACTAGAAAAGCACTCAGAGAGCACAGACCTCCGCCAAGGACTATAGTCCCCCTCATATTAATTGTGTTTTCCATAAATATTTGTCTCGTATCTTTCAATTTGGAATATGAAAGAGGATCCGATTGTCCATCCCTGAGTCAAATTTCATGGGGTTTGGTCAATAATTAACTGAGATATTGAGAAACAAAATTTTTGGCCCCATTTACCACAATGTTAACTAAAATTTCAAAGTGATCCAGAATCCAGGATTTCTTCCGGATCACCCCGAAAATGAAATCAGTTCTTCCTTTTCACATTTCCAACAAATAAAAATCGGTCCATAAATTTTTGAGTTATGTTGCTAACAGACAAACAAACAAACAAACAAACAAACAGACAAACAAACCAGCGCCGGCAAAAACATAACCTCCTTGGCGGAGGTAATTAACAAAAACCCACCATGCTCAAGTGCAAATAGCAATAAATGGGTGTTCTACCGAGTCAAAGGCTTTGTAAAAGTCCAAAAAGAAAATAAACCCGTGGTCTTCAATTAAATCACTGTATTCAATTAGGTCCATAACCTGTCTTATATTATTATGGATAGATCTACCCTTTAAAAACACACTGAGTCTCTGCAAAGCCCTGAAAGCCCTGACTGTAGATGATGTCAGGGAATTTACCCTAAGACATCAAAATACATTAAATAAAGACACACCAAAACGAGACAGTTAAAGGTAATCACTTGCGCAAGGGAGAGAGAGCTGTCAGAGCCTGTCAATACCACTGGCTGAGCCTACTCTACTCTCCAGCTCTCCTCCCAACAGCAGGTTTTATTGCAGTCATTTCACAGATAACAATACAGTACATTATGTTATATCACACAATGGTTACAATGATCACATGCTAACAATCTTTAGGCTAAACCACCCTCCCATTTCTCACTTGATTACAGGCTCCAGGTGATAAACAATTTGGTCAGTTTTCTCCCAAAAACTTATGCTAACCACATGAGGGAAAAAACCCTTAGCTGTCTTCTCATGGGTGACTCAGTAGATTAGCTTAAAGAGTCAGGAGTTCTTGAACTAGGACATATGATATACATATGGAAAAACCCTAAAACGCAATTGTTGATAACTTTACAAATGAAAATAACACAGAAATTCTTTCACATTTCCCTCCTGTTTATCAATAATGCTTTACCTCAGAGTACTAGAACGTCTAAGCAGATTCATGCTCTTCAGCTACATATACTTCAATTCTGTCCAACACCCTTATCAGGAGCAAGCGGATACATAAAATACAACATAACACAAAAAACACTTATACCACTAAGCATTGATGTAAAATGGATAACACGACATTTTTCCATGCCCCCTAAAATCTAAATTCACTGCAAGGTGAGAGTGTGTTTTCATGCAGTATCATTTTTCCCCCATGATATGCTATCAAAGCTTTCGTTACAAGTTAAAACCCCCTCCCGGTGTTGCCGTATGCTATATTTGCCCCTTTTTTAATTGAAATGAGCGTGTCGTTGCAATAAATGAGCGTGTCTGTGTGTTTGCCTAGACCTGCATCTAAACACAAATTTCTTAATTTTAAATTTTCAAAACCCCTCAGGAGAGCATCATTTTTCACTGTAACCATACTTCTTTGTTGTCCCCTTTCGGAGGCTGTGGCTCCGCAGGCTGGGATTGAAGGCTGCGTCAGATAGTCAGGCTGATGTTGTACAGTCACTCACGTGACCAGGTGACTGACCACATTGCAGTGCCCAAGAAGCAGGGGTTACCAGCCCGTACTTCTCGTAAGAACACGAGAGGTCCTGCGTCTCTCTTACGCGTCGAGGTTTCTGGACTCACAGTGACTCAGGTGGTTCCACCCGCTCCTCCCTTCGACCTTAACAGTAGTGGGAGTGGTCAGCAACACACGGTGTGGTACTTTCCTTTCGATCACTGGACCAGCATTTCCATTTTATCACTTTGACGAACAACAAGGCTCCAACACCGACAGGTGGATGCTGCTGTGAAGAGAGTGGAAGATCCGGCAGGTTATTGTTCTCTGAGCAGTCTCTAGCCAGTGATGTTTCCTCCATGTACTGGGCTAGATCAGGTACAAAGTCAGGTGTATCTCTTTTACTTAGTTTGTTCTTACTGTCCCATTTGTGCGTTTCCATGAGTCCAGCCGATTGGGGTCTATACGTGCAATGTCTCTTTAGATCTATTTTTTGACCTTATTCACAAAATGCGTCCCATTATCACTTCTAATGATTTCTGATATACCCAAGGTGGGAATAATGTGGTTACATCGGGTTTTTGCCACTGTGATTGTAACAGGCTTGGCTGTGGGAAATATTTCAATCCATTTTGAAAAACATCTATTACTCCTAAACAGTAGGGTCCGAAAGGGGGTAGGTTGGTTGAGGAAACTGGCCTCTCTTAGGTCTAACTTGCAGATTAAACACTGTCTGCAAAAAAATTTTTGAGTAGGTATTAAATCCTATTGTATTAAAGTATTGATTTTCTAGTACCACCATCCCTCCTGTTGAGACATGATATACCTCATGGCTCATGCTCCTTTAAACATGGATTGGTAAAAAAAATTTCATTTGATCCCACATATATCTTTGATCTCTGATTTCTGCACCGTTTCTCAACCAAGTCGCCCTTTCAGATGTATTCGCTTGCTCTTGTATTATTTGCAAAATACCTTTAGTATCAATTACTGTTTCTTGCGTGTATATTCCACACGCTTTTTCTTTTGCTTTCATATCTGCAAATCTATTACCATTTGATATCAAATCTGTTCCTTTTGTATGAACATTTTAATTATTGCTAGTTTCCTTGGTAGCTGAATAGCATTTAATAGATTTTGAACAAGTTGTTTGTGAACACTTCTTTGCCTGTGGTGGTTTTGAACCCCCCTCAGCTGCCACTGGCGACAAAAGACATATACTGCACTGAAGCATATTGTCTGTTTGTGTAAATTGTGGCAGGTCTGTCTCTGTACAGTTTACACACTTCAGTCAAGGCTATTAGTTCTGCTGCCTGTGCTGACAAATTTGAAGGTAATTTTTCTTCGTCTATGTAAATTTGGGAGTAAGGTGGCTGGGTTCAGTGCAGTACATCTCTCTATAGTTAGATGCGGTTGTGACAATAATATTGTCATACACGTTAGGTGTCTAGCTGGCGATACAAATGCCATTTTGGTCTGCAGGAGGAGTGCTGCCACTGCATGTGAAA